CCGTGCTAAACTAATGGTTGCGTTTTTTATTTCCTGGCTACTTTGACTCCGTACGCACGTTAGGCCAAGAACCTTTTAGGTGTTGACCTAGACCTATGCTCCATTTCCGCCTCTCTCTCGAAGAACCAAGTTTTTTCCATAGCGAAAATCTGGCCTCTTAGTGGGGATTAATCTTTGTGATTTTCTGGTGGTCGTACCCTCGAACTAGCGAAACAACACGCAGAGATGTAACTGTAAAACATGTTGCCGATAAACAACAACTTCTTGTAAAAATTCCCTGTTTTTCTCTGACGCTACGTTAGACATTACCATGCCTAGTCCCTGTACGGCGTCTTTCCACGCAATCTCGGTCAAGGCATTTGGGTGGCGTATCTGAGTAAAAAAATTCGCTCGGACCACATGACCCGAAACGCATTAGCCACGCGGAATAAAGAGGTCTATGGACAAAGCGACAGTCCTTCGCTTTCATTAAAAACACTGGACACGGGAATTTTGTTATTGGCCGTTTTCACACTATAGCTAGAAATGGATGATCCGTCTGAGACTAGCCTTTGTAAAGTCACCCCCTACCCCAGAGAAACCCTTCTCCAATTTTTTCTGAGGGGAGGAGGCGGCTCTACATAGACTATCTGAAATCGGGATTATCCATCTTCAAACTGTCCGTCAAAATTGACGGATAAAGTCAGGCGGATTGTTCATTCAAATTTAAAACCATATCCATTTTCAAATTGACGTATTACCTATCTGACGCGAATTATCAAACGGATAACCCGTCTCACGCGAATAATCCGTCTCTAGTGTTAAAACAGCCATTTCTGTTAAAAATGAATGTCGCGCCTCGGCCTTAAGTTGGGCGTTCGCGTGTCTGCTTTTGCTTTTTACAGAGATTATTTTAAATTGACTATTGACATTTCTACGCGTATAATAATATGAGAAGTGAAATAATTTATAAAATTAAAAGTATGATCTATCAAATGCTAAAATTGTTCAAAAGAATAGCTTATTTCATCCCGAGATGATCCAAAGACCATTTTGAAGATAGAAAAAAATCAGGTTTATTAATATTTAACTCTTTGAAACAAAAGAAATTTAATTTTTAACTTTTTTGTTAACCGTAAATGAAAAAAATTAACCGATAGCCGTAAAAGAGCCAAAATTTTAGCCGATAACCATAAAAGCCACCACCCCATTGAGACCCTCATAGCCCGGTCGGACAATTCTTTCCTGGCGTTTGCCCAAACTTTTGTAACAAGGACATAGATCTCCATGGCATTTGCTTTAAAAACTGGTGTTATATTGGCACAAGGGAACTTCGCCCAGGGAAAACGACAAATTACGGAAGGGGATTTCATCGACACTGGTGGCTTTGTTAACGTGGAATTGAACAAAATGTTTCCGACTTTATCCTGAGTGGTAAATACTTTCAAAATGAGATCTGGGTGCACCAAATCATTAATAAGATCATCAAAAGGAGAATCAATTGACAAGTACAGTGTACTAAAAATTTATTTGAAGAAGTCAGCCTTATAATCTGACGGATCTGAAACTGTTCTATCTTTATAGGCAACTACTGCTGGGGTCTCCTTGTTTTTGATTTGATGGCATGAAAGGACCAAAACGTCTTATGGTCCTATTTCAGTTGCTAGGACAAGAATTGGTGATATTCGTAATTATTTGTTGTAGTATTTCCACAAGGCTAATTTTCTTTCCAAACAACTTCATTACTAAGAGTTATAACTGCGAGTTATTTTTTTTTATCCAAAATGGCCTTGAACGACTTCTCAGAGTCTTACGCAAGGAACTAGCTTCTCGATATCAGATAGTAGTATTAAACTCCTAACAATTTGCTACACTGTCGTCGTCATGGTCAGCAATAACAAGGTCCTAAGCACTCGAAACCTGCTTTCTGGTAACTAGGAATCTTCTTTAGTTGGCGCCGTAAATTTCCTTCATAGTGTAAAAGTAATGACGAAATGACAGATCCGACCCAAAAGCATGTGGACATACAGCAACATCTTCAGCATGAGATCAATCAAAATTACTGAGTAGAAGATCCAAAATATTCCCTGTGGAAGACGAGGAATTGGACATGCGAATAGCATTCGCTTTCACTTGAATAAGGAAGTAATCATTAAAGACGTTACAAAAAGACTCAGGTTAAGTTATCTAAGACTGAAAAAAAAAGTTAAAACCATCCAAAAAATCCTCACCAGACTGAGGCCCTCTGTAAAAAAAAAACAGAAAAAAATTAGACAACGCGAGTTCAGATAAAGAATTTCGGCCCTGAAATTATATTTCTTTGTTTCAAATAACCAAACCAGTAACATTAAACCGCCAGTACTGACAACAAAAGCCAAATTACTGTGCTTTTGATAAAAAATACTTGCTTTTTAACGTCCTTAGTCACTGAGTTTTGTTGCTTTTCTTGTCCGAAGGAGGGTCGCGTGTTAAAACACTTTGCAGTCTAATTGGTGATTCTCTGGTGATTGTAGGTGTTACGCTGTACTTATTGAAGATATGTGTAAAGTATATCGTATACTCAGTTGAGAGGGGTATAGACGAAGTGGGCCGCTTACTTGATTATATTTGGCCTGGGCGAGGGGGTTGCGACTTCGAAGGGATGGGCTAATTCGAGAACACCAGAGCTACAACAAATATGAACACATTTGTAAATCTCAGCCATATGTTTCTGGCAACTTCTTTCTGGTGTATTCATGAAGTGTTTCAATTTTGTCCCGCATTTGGCTAACCTGCGAATACAGCCGTTTCTCCCAGCTCCTCGCCGCGGAAAAAGCTGTATTCGCAAGTTAGGCGTAGTTATAGTCACATCGGAATGAGCATCATTCATCGGTGCCGTGATGAGGTAACCGAACAGGATAGCTCCGAGGAAATATTTCACCTTGTGGCGGTTATTGTAAAAAAGGTTCCACACCTTAGGATCTCATCCACAGACTCAAAATTTTAAAACATCAGTTGTAAACAGTGCCACAGCAAAGTCCTGCAGAGAAGCTTTCATTGGCTGGGTTAAAATGCAATCCGGCTGTTTCATTTCAAATAGTTTAGATAAATACAACTTTTCAAGTGATTAATGTTTTTATTGAAGCGCCTCTATTACATTGTACTGGTTAATTAGAAACGAATGTAACGCAGAATCATTAAACTGACGTTTTTCAATACATTTGTCTGGCAGAAGATTACTTGATTTTAACTTCATTTAAAATATTTATTGTTAGAATGTTAAGACCTCAAGAGACATACGCTTTACTTAGCATAACGCGCCAGAAATATCTCAAAAACCTTTTGGACGTATCTTCATCTCAGTTTTCTTGACAGAGTAGCAGCCAGTACGCTTCGGCCAACTGTTCCAGCGCATTCCTTGACAATCGTCCTTACCATTGAGGTACAAACCATTCAGGTTGGAGTCGTGACAACTGCTGTACCACCAGGCGCCTTTAAAACGCAAGGCACAATTGCTACTCCTCCACTTGTCATTATCACGATCCTTGGTGGAAAATGACATACCACGATGACGAACAAGCGCATCACTAGCGGTTCCTACCAAAAAGGAGAAAAAGCGAATTAAAGGTCTCTTCCCGGTTATCTTTCGCAGAGTTTTTTCAACGGTCAATTTCACTCCTTCATGCATATAAAACAATCGCAGTCCACTTTAATTAATCCAAACTGGATGAAACACTTCTAGGTTTTTTAAACAAAATTAAAAAGTCCTCTGAAAGGTCTTAAAAGGAACATTAAAAATAACATTTGGTAAAGCTACGAAACCGGTAGAGATCTTGTACTTGCTGAAAATTCAGTGAAAAGATACCTTAATTTCTGAACTCTCAAGACCTGGGCCAATTGTCCTTTTAAAACTTTTTGATATGATCTAATATGACATTACGAATAAGCCTAGGTCAATTGTAATTGTAAAAATCAACTGATAACTTCCACATTCCAATCACGACTGAATGTCAAAAAAAAAACCAATCTTATTTTCTTTCTATCTTTTTTCTTTTGTTATTGTATTTGCCAATTAGCAACATTTTTCACCGACTGATTCTTTTTCAGTCTAGTGTATAAACTTACCTGAATAACTTCCCAAATTCAGTTGGTATTTCGCTCTCTCGCTTGTCACAGAAATGGAGCTGTACTCAGCAAATGCAGTTTTTCCATGAATGTCTCCCAAGTCGATACGGAGTTTATAACCACCGCTTACAGTCAGCCGATGTATTTTATCCAAACCGAGCCAGAACTCACCGTTCAGATTGCCAAAACCACGTTTGTAATCATTCCAACCGCGGAAGAAATCAACAGAGCCATCTCGCCTCTTTTGAAACACCGTCCAACCTCCACCGGCAGTTTTCTGATCACAGAACACTTCAAATTCGCCCAAACCATCAGGATTGATTTTATACACTCCACTGATCTTGTCACCTGAATTGTAGACTTCAGCGCAGTTCTTGTAAACTGAAAATAAAATGATCATTCGATGCGTTCCTTAGTTTTTGGCTATTTTAGGATTTCATCCACAGACTCAAAATTGAGAAACATCAGCTGTATACAGCTCATAAAAAAACAGCCCCACAGCAAAGTCCTGTAGAGAAGCATTCATTGGCTGGGTTAAAATGCAATCCGGCTGTTTCATTTCAAACAGTTCAGATGAATACAACTTTTCAAGTGATTAATGTTTTTATGTCTCCTCCCCGGTTTACTAAAACACTAACAATAAACCCCCCTTTACTGCCAACAGTCGAGCTTTGTTTGCTAGAGCACCTAACTTAGGAAACAAAGAAAACCGAGACTGTGGTCTGGGATTAAAAACATTAATGGCCGGTTTTATTCAAAACTGCAAAATCATCTCATCAATGTTAAAATATGAAATAATGTTTACGAATTTATAGGTCTAGCAAAGGTGAGGGCCAGAAGAAAAAAGCAACTAAACTACAAGAAATACCTAAAGCAAGTAAAATAGGTGGAAGATTGGGGCGGAGGCGGGTCGATTGCTTGTTCAGAGGATAAGCAGGTCAGCTATCGAAGATTTGGCTTGATGTCAGCTTTCAGACCGAGAGGATTTACGAAAAGGTTGCACCCTCTATAAAGGATCTCCGCGAGATAATGAGATCGAGGCTAAGTAAATTTACTGCGAGTGGCCTTATCATAGGAGCTCGTGATTATTACCCAAAAGTAATTTTACTTTTCGTCTTGTGATTGTCATGCGATCGTAAACCATTGTGAGATAATTCAAAGTTCACATTCGAGAGCCTCTAAGCCTTTGAAGCCGCAATCGACCCCACCCCCCAAAAATCCATACATTAAAGAAATTGGAAGGGGAGACATAAAATGTTTTATTTGGTTCCAAATAAACTCATTTATTGAAGCGCCTCTATTACAGTGTACTTGTTAATCACCTATGTAACCCAGAATCATTGACATTGGCGTTTTTCAATACATTTGTCTGGTAGAAGATTACTTGATTTTAACTTCATTTAAAATATTTATTGTTAGAATTTAAGACCTCAAGAGACATACGCTTTATTTAGCACAATGTGTCAGAAATATCTCAAAAACCTTTTGGACGTATCTTCATCTCAGTTTTCTTGACAGAGTAGCAGTCAGTACGCTTCGGCCAACTGTTCCAGCGCATTCCTTGACAATCGTCCTTACCATTGAGGTACAAACCATTCAGGTTGGAGTCGTGACAACTGCTGTACCACCAGGCGCCTTTAAAACGCAAGGCACAATTGCTACTCTTCCACTTGTCATTATCACGATCCTTGGTGGAAAATGACATACCACGATGACGAACAAGCGCATCACTAGCGGTTCCTACCCAAAAGGAGAAAAAGTGAATTAAAGGTCTTTTCCCGGTTATCTTTCGCAGAGTTTTTCAAACGGTCAATTTCACTCTTTCATGCATAAACAATCGCAGTCCACTTTAATTAATCCAAACTGGATGAAACACTTCTAGGTTTTTTAAACAAAATTAAAAAGTCCTCTGAAAGGTCTTAAGAGGAACATTAAAAATAACATTTGGTAAAGCTACGAAACCGGTATAGAGATCTTGTACTTACTGAAAAAGCTTGAAAATTCAATGAAAAGATACCTTAATTTCTTCCACATTACAATCACGATCAATTGCAAGGAAACAATCTTATTTTCTTTCTTTCTTTTTTCTTTTATTATTGTATTTGCCAATTAGCAACATTTTTCACCGACTGATTCTTTTTCAGTCTAGTGTATAAACTTACCTGAATAACTTCCCAAATTCAGTTGGTATTTCGCTCTCTCGCTTGTCACAGAAATGGAGCTGTACTCAGCAAATGCAGTTTTTCCATGAATGTCTCCAAAGTCGATACGGAGTTTATAACTACCACTTACAGTCAGCCGATGTATCTTGTCCAAACCGAGCCAGAACTCACCGTTCAGATTGCCAAAACCACGTTTGTAATCATCCCAAGCGCGGAAGAAATCAACAGAGCCATCTCGCCTCTTCTGAAACACCGTCCAACCTCCACCGGCTGTTTTCTGATCACAGAACACTTCAAATTCGCCCAGACCATCAGGATTGATTTTATACACTCCACTGATCTTGTCACCTGAATTGTAGACTTCAGCGCAGTTCTTGTAAACTGAAAATAAAATGATCATTCGATGCAGTCCTTAGTTTTTGGCTATTTTGTCTAGCCGTTATTCTTCGAGGTAAAAGGTTAATCCAAAATAAGAGTTGGCAAATTCAAGAATAAAATGTGGCACATGCATAGCTGTAAATGCATTATTTAGACTCAGTATTAAACATTTGAACTATATGTTCGCCTTAGCCCTCCCTTTGTTTTGCATTGTGCTTGGACGTAACATAATAAAGGAGGATCTAAATGACCCATTAGTAAAATAAGAATAATACTTTCGTGACTTTTTGGAGGGGTTTTGACAGTATTTTAGTGAGGTATTGATGACAACGAGGATCCACTTTGTTTATTTGTAGCACAAATTAAGTTGCTGTTACAAACCTTTTCCGTTGCCAGACCCAGTAGTTTTATTTTCTCTCAATGCCCTGATTTCTTGTCGTATTTCCTCCAGTTGCTGCTCGATTTTAGTGCAGTTTGGTGCACACAGTTGAGTCACACTGCAGTGAGCTTTCTGTGGCGGTTTTACCGTAGAGTTGGCAAGTGCCGAAATGAGACAAGTGAGCAGTGAAGTTCCAAAGAAATATTTCATCTTAACTCCTTAGCATGTGAGCTGTTTTGGGATTTGAAAGAACTGCCCTACATGTACAATGGACAAAGTGTTAGAGAAGAAATGATACTAAAACTTCCGCAGATACTTCGTATTGCTTCTGAGTTTTCAAAACAAGATTTTTCTCGTCTGTGTATCTTTAGTGAGGGGTTTCGTCATCTATTATTGCGATCACCAATAAAGCATTAAATTATTCAACATTTACATAGAGCATCGTGTGGCCGAACAATAAATATCTTGTTTATATCTCCTTGTTTTGTTTTAATTGTCGAGGAATTAATGGCGTACTACCTTAAAATTTTAGTTTTAAGCTTCGTGTGGAAGCGGAAAATAGTGATAATAACATATTTTTGACAGTTTATGGAGGAGTTGTAATAGCAATTTCAGCAATTGCTACAGTCTAGTATCATTAAACCACTATCAGTATAGGTGGATAAAGATGAAGCTCTCTATATTTTTAAAGCGTCGCAGTGACTGTCAGAATACCCCTGTGACTCTGGGAAGGAGTAGGTGGATGGGGAAAGAGAGCACTCTTTGAATTAACTCGTTATTAAATACCTTAACCATTCGTGTGTAGCCTGCAAATACAACCGCCTCTAAATGCTCCCTCACTTCTGTTGGGACTTTTTTTGAATGGCGCGGAGCTATGTGAGACGGCTTTATTGACAGGATAGCTCGCGTGGAACCCAGACTGAGCGGATAAACGCAAAAACTCAAGTACTACTGCACACCTGCGCTTCTTAATATAACATAATTCAATATTTACTGAATTTTGGCGAGACCAGCTACTCTCACAAAAAAATGCCGCTAAGCCGGGGGCACCCATCGACGGTTTCCTCCTTAATACATTGAAATCGTTTTTTGGGCTATCCACAGTACTTTAAGATCTCTAGAAATGCATTCTAAGGGGCGCTATACAATTTCTACTGGTTCGGTCATCCTAGGGGAACTTGTCACGAGTCTTTTCAAAATTACAAGGGCTTCAGCATTATTTTGCAGAAAATTTTTGATGCAATTTAACGTATTACGAAAGTGAGAATTTTTCTGATCCCTCCCTCCATCACATTTTTCAATCGAAAATTTTAGGTTTCCTTTTTGTACGAAAAATAGCCTAACCTGGGCATTGAAATGCAAAGAATTAAACTTCAGAAAATCGTAGGGAAATAATTAGATAAGCTTCGAAAATTGTGCATGAATGGAACAGTCATCTAGAAATTTTAACCGTCCTCAAGCAATAGAAAATTCTAGGCAGCATTTGCTTCTCCGCACAGATAATTTACAGAAAACAGTCGTTGGGTGCCCTTGAAAAGTAGCTCGTGGAAGCAATGTTTACATAAAAACCGGTGTGTTAAAGTTTACTAAAGCGCTTTTTATTTGTAAGTTTTGATTTCCGCAACAGCCATTTATTTGACTTTGCTAAATTTGATACAAATTTCCGTGGGCCAATTGAGCCATTTCGAAGACTATGCTTGATAAGCAAACTTCAAAGCAAAACAAATGACTTTTTTCTCATTTGGTTCGTGATAACTGGCAAGTAACACAATCTATCACAAGACAACTAAGTATTAAATTATGAATTCAATTACAAGCTCCTTTTCCGACAGAAAAGCGCTCCCCTGTCGTCAGTTTAGGGAGAAGTGGATGGGTAATGAAGACAGGCTCCTGGGTCCATAGAAGACAAAAGGGGAATTCTAGGGACAAGCCAGGAAGTTACTATTTTTTATAAGTGATTAAAAATATTAAACTGAGGAGAAGTGCGCAAGGTATTTTTTATTTCTATTCCGGTCAGTAAATAATTCTATTGTTAAGTTTTACGTTTTTTTTTACAATTCATAAACTACAAGCACAAGTATTCAGAGTTTGCTTTCAAAATAAATTTGACAAGGAATTGACGAATTCTATAACGAAAGTTAAAAACACAGCATTCAATGTCGAAGGATTTCAGTTTAAATTTCCATCGCGCTCTGTAATAAAGCAAAATGTGTCCAAAAATTCTCACGGGGGTCCTGTTATATTTTCGAGGGGTCCCTTTGGGTAAAAAAGTACATTCACCCTCCCCACCCACTTGACGTTCACCAGGAACGTCTTATCATTTTCTGTTTTTTAAATGCATCTGTTCCAGAACCCCATAGGTTGGAGCACCAATTAAGATTGACACTCCTAACTGTAATAATTGAAAATTGTTCCATTTCACTGAGATTAACATTTGCCTTCAGCAAAAATGTCACGACGTTCTTCGCTGTACTTAAGAAAAAGAAAACATCCTCATTTAATGATACACATAATTCAACTCCTGTAGGGACATTGGCAATAAATCCTTGGGATTAACTATATTATTGCCCACTAACGTAATCAATTTGAAACAAACTGCTCCCTAAGTGTCACTCCAGAGAAGAGAAATCAAATCAGACGGGACATGTCACGTACTACATGTCACAACATCTCCCAATTTTCACGAACGTCTTGATTTTGGCGGCAAAGCCGGCGGAACAGAGTCTTCTTGGTTGGACATTTCCGTATCTCTTGTCATTGGCTCATTCCCTGGGGGCATTCTAGGGGGGATGGGAGGAGGGGATCGTCGGGTTCCCCTACTTGGCTCCCTTGGGGGAATTGGGGGTGCAGCCTCGTTGTCATCAGCAAGGTGAGGGAACCTTTCTAATGTCGTTGCCCTCGGTGGTATCCGGGGAACACTACTAAGGGACATTTGCCGTCGAACAGAAGAGACGTTTTCAGTTGGTCTCACTGGACCGTTTGCCGAAGCTGATCGAGGCTTCCTTGGGGGTAAATGCGGAGGAGGCGGCTCTTTTTCCGGAAAGTGCTCGATGTTGACGTAATCTGGTTCCGTATCCTCCAACATTGGAGTCTCGGGAATTGTTTCTGGGACAGTCTCCGAAGGGAGGAAGGACGACATCGATTGAGGAGTTCGTGGAGTGCTCGGCGATAACGAAACAGTTGACGGGAACATGTCACTATCGGGTAGGTAGATGGACGATGCTTGTGATGGACTTCTTCTTAATGTTGTTTGTGAGGTGATGGAGAGTCGAGACTGAAGGTATGAGGGCTTGGTTCCAGGTGACCTCAGTGAATATTCTGTTTTTCGAGGCTGTGAAAAAACAAATACCAGTGAAAATAGCGTACCATCAAAATGCTGTAGTGGGGTACACGTGCTTTTCATCAAAAGCAAATTTCGGTCACCCTGTTCAGTAGAAATATGCAAGCATGGACACTAAAAGGCATGACGTTGGGCTTTCAACACTAGACTGGTATACAAAACGATTTAGAAACAATTCGACGAGCCTGCTGTCATTTAACGGCACACTGCGTAGGCATATTGGAGCTTACAAAGTGACATAGAACGTTTCCAGAATTACAAATGACTTTGTCACCCTCATCCGTCCTTAATTAGGAACAAGCACTACTAATGTTAATCTACAGACCTTCAAAACTGGCCCATTATCCAACGTTTAACGCGATAGTTTCTAGTCTCCTACGCAAGTGTTCTTTGCGTGATCTCGTGACGACAGTGCATGACATGACTGTTAGCGTTCACGTGCCAGGCGTGTATATCTCAAAACTCCTGGGGAGTTTAGCGGCTCGGAAAGTGTTTTTTATCATCCATTTCTTAACGATCATATAGAGCTTTTGTGCAAAGTAGAACAACATACTTCTTGATTTGTATAGCTTACAAAATTTTCCAAAAATCACATTCGTGCAAATGAACTTTGTGCACAAATAGTTTTCGGGACGAAAATGTTATTGGGAGTTTTGAGAGACGCACGCCAGGTTTGCATGAGTTCGTTCAATGGTTCTCGACTTACATGCTTTACCAACTTTTCACAGTTTCGAGGCTCAATATCTAGAGAAAGTTGGTACAAATAGTCTTCCATTTCAGTGTCAGTTCGTCCTTCAAATGGATCAAGCGTCTCTAGATACTCCTACGAAAGAAAACACTCACAAGTATGAACACTACAGATTGAATGAGTTAAAACCGTAAATAACAACGGCTTTTAATACATCTCATTGCAAACTAATGGTAAAGTTATTTGCTCTTTTATCAGCAGTCTACGTGATAACTGACCCTCAACTTTCTCCTCCGTATTGGGTCCCGCTGATTACCTCATAAAAAGAAAAAAAATCGAAAATCGCCGCGCGACCGTCGCGCGCTATCTTTTTCCCACTCCCCAGTCTCCCTACGACACAAAGTGACCTCTGCAGAAGACAAAGGACCCTCAATGTCTCGTTTCAAGGTAAACGTTCTATAAGTTCTGCAGATGCAATCAAGGAAAGAGGGACTAAATTAACACAAATATTAAAGAAAAGTAATAGCGCCGTCATTTTGGAGTAAGATATATCGCAAAAGGTGCAATTACATTTCAGACGTTAATTTTACAATTTTTTCAACAGACTTAAAGGTTGGGTCATCCCCGGTGTAATTAATTTATTCGTTTTCCTTGTTTTATGAACTATTGTCAGGGTTAGGTTCATTGTAAAGGACGTTTTGTTTTCTTTGTTTTACGTCAGCTGTGAGTACTAAACTAACTTACACCGGAGATGAGCCTAAAAGTTAGAACCACCTTGTACAACGTAAAAAACAGTACCACAGGAAGTGGGCTTTATTTGAATGGTCACACTTGAGGATTACATTTACATTTACATATAGAGCGATTTTCGTATGACCGCGAAAAATGGTTTCGGTAAGTGTTCGTTATTTGTTTCAACAGCCAATGGATGAAAAGATCAAAACATGGCCTCTTCGTTTTCCCGCTAAAGAAAAAAAAACCCTAATATGGAGAAGGCATGGTTCGACTGGCCAATCGTGTTGCAGCATGACGTGAAAGCGAGGTAACGGATGATTTCTAGAAAGTTCTAAAGGCATGAAGTTTTTTCACCCGAGCTTTCTCTTAACCAACCAAAGCCACGCGCGTTTGTATCCGTTCGAGAAACCAATAAAATCGCTCTATTTCCGTTCTTTTGTACGTTGTTTCTGTTTTGTTTGCGCGTTTTCATTTCAAGGTCATACGAAAATCGCTTTATTACCTCGCAAAATCTATCATAGACATAGTCGCAAGCCTACATTAACATCTACAGACTCAAAAGTCACAACCATCCTGTATAGCATAAAAAACAAGTACCACAGGAAATTACTGCTCACTTATTTGCTCTGAACTTGCTGAAAGGATGTTAACATAACTCAGATTTTCTCGCAAGAGGCAAGCAACTGCATATAAAATTAAATTGCACCTCAACTCTTACCGCGATAAACTCCTCTTTCTGAAGACAGTAGGGCTGATTTTGATACTGCTGAATTTCTCCAGTAATTTCAGCTACCTTTCTCCTGTTGATAAAAGCAGAAACGTTAATGAAACTACTGCGTCATGAAAAGCTACACATAAAAAAACAACTCAACCCTTCAGGCTTTGACATAAACAAGACTAGTATCAGATTAGGTTAAAAAGTAATCTCGCAATAGTCTTAGTTTCTTGATTTTGCGTTTGTAATAGGCCATTTCCGAGTAGCTCCAAGCCTCTACTTCAAAGCGAGGCTATGCAACTGAAAGTCATTTTCACAAGAATGGTTTTGCTCTTAGCCTCGTTTTGAAAGTGAGAGTTTCCGGAACTCCCAAACAGCCTATTGGCTGCAAATCTCCCGCCCTTTTCTCAAGAGAAGCATTTTCTCGCGCTTGGAAGCTACACTGGATCCGCTGTGAGATTTGATCGGTTCATTTGATTACCTGAATTGGTCAAAGCAATTGCTTTGCCATTTGCCGAAGATATCGGTTTCAAAATTCCTTGACTTTTCCCTGATAAAAATAAAATATCCCTGACCAAATAAATACAAAATGTAACGTACAGTGGCGGCATCTATTCTCCTCTTACAGATCTCCTTTCTACTTTCGCTGCTTTTTTTATGAATGTGTAAAGCTTGAAACCCATATAATTCTGGAAAGCGATAGTTCGTATTAATGACAGAAATCGTTAAGATAACAGTGACCTGAAATAATTCCTCCAGCTTCTTACATTTTTCAATTTTCCCATTCTCGATATATAATCCTTGACTTTTCTCCGCCGAGAGCTTGAAGAAATTACGTCCTCAAAGGTTCGTCCGAATGTGGAATATCCTTCTAATTCGGACAACGCCTATTGTCCTCAAGCGAAGTAAGGATAATTCGTTTTGCTTGACTTTTGACAAACATTCTTTGGTGGACAGACCACAATAAAAAAATTCTCGCACCTTTTACTAAAGTTGATGATTCCCTTAGGATAATTGGGCAGAAAATCAGGATTGCCTTCTTCTGTCTTGAGAATATTTGTTAAGTACATGCCTGGAAGAGACAGCAAATTACACATTTGAGCAAAAGCGTATACCATGGGAGTACAAGCTAAAAAGTATTCAGTGATATAGATGTCAGTTAAGTAACTACTACGCCATCATGACTTCACGTAGCTAATATACTGTCTTTCAACAATCCCATTAGCACTTGAGTGCACCAGAATGTCTAGCAGGTATAATTATGAGTTTCTCTGTTATTACGTACCGAAGAAGGGGACACATGGCGGATTAATGGATCGTAATTTCTCGATGTACTTCTTGTAATGATCTTGGCTGAGTTCTTTTGCCTCTTCCAGTGTTTGGCTCCGTCTGACTGACAACTCCTGCAAAATATGTACGGAAATAGAAGGTAAGAATTGCGATCCTCAGTTTTGTTCCCTGAAATTAAATTGTTTTCCTCTTTAATTTTTTTTGCATGGACTAGGCAACTTCGATGGTCCCATGCTTGCATATCAACCTGACTCTGAGACTGACGTTAATTAACCTTTGCACGTCATAAAAAGACAAACTAAATATTCCATTAAATTACTTTTTTATGTAATAATGATACCTAGGACAAGAAAAAGGTTGCCGAAACGTTTCGTAACTGTCCCTCTTTATTAGCACATCTTTAGGGGGAACATTCGTTCGACAGTACCAAAGATGTAAGATTTCTTACAGAAACAAATTCTTGTTTCGCAACAGTAGCAGCTGGCAAATTTAGAGAGCCCATCGGAAATATTTTTGTTGGTTTCGCAAGTTACACAGCCAATCAACAAGACGAAAATTGCAAGTGTATCCGCGCAAAACGGGTATGCTTAATTTGACTACATAATGCATTGTACTTAAGAAGGCGCAATAAACTATAATAAAAATAAACTTAACACAACGAAGATAATTTCGATCGCTTGTGAAAGAGAACGGTAAAACAACATTTCGCTACAGAAATTCAAAAAAACAAAAACGAAAACAATACAATACAATAAAATACAAAAAACAAGCCATTTAAGACTTACCGCAAAAGTGTGCTGCAGTCGGAAAATTGGCGATGAATTAATTGCACTAACTACTTCTAAAATTCCATTGAAATTGTTTAATTCTTGAAAAACCTGGAAGTAATTAAAACAGTTTCAGAACTCACTGAACAAAATAATTAAGTTTAAATTTCACTGTCCAGACCGGCTTTCAATCAAGTATTAAAAGTAATCCGTGATTGCTCTACTGTTTGTGATTGGCCAGAAGATCTCGCGCCACCTTCTCAAACAATCAGAAGTTAACCTATACCAATTGCGACTTTTCCCGCGCTTGGAGACGGCTACACTGGATTTGCTTTGACATCTGATTGGTTAATTTGTTTGCAAGACCATGTTGTGATTAGCTAGAGTTAATACTTTGGTTTTAGTTTTAAAAAGAATTCAAATCGAAACCAATCTTCAACCGATTTGTACTATAACAGTTGTATTAACTCGATTCAGAAGAGATAACATAAGCTTAGTTTATAATAGAACGAACTCGCTTCGGGGCAGTAGCCAAACGAGAATTATTTCAAATTAAAGAACAACCATCTTAGCAATAGATTTCTTCGAGAAACCTGCCTTCTCTATACTTGCAGGGTCCCCAAGTGCTAATAAACACATCACAACGACACCAGACAGAGGGCCTCCCAGGGATTTTGGGTGGCAAGGCAGCATGACCATTCACTTTTCGGGAACAAAGAAAAAAACCTTTTTGGAACAGGAGAACATTGATTTTTCAGCTTCAAAGAAAAGTCTTTCCATAAACGTTACAAGCAGACCCTTAACGACTCACATTTTTGCTCTCGTCACTCGCAGTAGTTGTTTGGATTTGGTTACCGGTGAGCCGAGAGTGGAAGTCAATTTGTTCTTTACAAAAGAGCAGGTGAGGTAACACCATTGATCAGAAGTGACTGTCATTACGATGCTACGCCATGACACTTGCTGACTAAGTGATTATTAAAAGGAACAAGGGAACATGCCCCCCCGACCCCAAAATCTGGAAGGCCCTTAAGCAGCAAAAAGAGAAGGCCAGATGAGGCCATGAGAAAAAAAGCTTGAATTATCTCCATTAGCAAGGAAACTGCCATACTCACTGTTAGAATATCCATAAGTCTATTTAATACTGCTACTCTTTCTTCTAAGTTTGGAAACTCCAACATGCTCTTCTCAAACCACACAGTGATTTTATTGGTGTGATGAATCATCTTTAAAAGATTCGGCGACGTCAAATGTTTGATGTCTTCTTTCGTCCAGACACTTCCTACCAGCTCCGAGGGACGCACCGCCCTGAGAAATAAAGCAAGAAAAATAGCAGCATAAGATTCAGATTCTTCGCAAGGGATACTTTCAGTATCTAATACTGCATTCAGTTTACTTTAGTAGTCTCGCTTGCTTTAGCAGCAAAACGTCGATGGTTAGGCTAACTGGTCGGGTTTTATAAACTTTCATTGTATGCAAATGAGTCTTGTGATGTGCATGCGGTTTTTTTCGGCAATGGTTATTCATGTTCATCACGTTTTCGTTCTTCAGCAATGATGTAATTTCTGACGAATTGAGGCCCTTGATTTTCGTGAATTTATACACGGGTACTCAATCAATTCATAAACAAATCAACCAATACGATATGAAAAATAGACATCCTGAAGAATACTCGACCTTCGACAAAGTAGGACGTGAAAAACTTTTAGCGAGGAAATCCTCTTTCGTGTAGAATTAATCGCCTCCTTACTTCTTATCTAATCTCCAAGTAAGCGAGACTTGCCCTTTTAAGAGCATTCTTGTTCAACAATTAACCTAGTCCACCACGCAGCCGTAGTACGTGACGAGAAAAACAGCTGCGAGGGAGACTACAATAAACATTACACTGGCATAATTTTATCACAGAGTGGAACATTTCTAGTCATGTTTATAAGATGCAACGGATTGATGTATATCTTTACTCTTTAGGATACGCGACTTGGTGTCGAAAACCACCAGGAAATAAAGACAAACGGAAGGTTGTTCTATACTTCGTTCCACGTCGGCGTTCGGTAAAATACGTGATTCAAAGGCGTGGCGCTGCTAAGTTAAAGTAGGAATATTACCTGTACAGCTCAGATTCAATAAGCGTTAACTGCCGAGCAATCTCAATTGGATGCAGCTAAAAACAATGTTAAGAACAACAGATTTAGGTCTACAGGTTTATGCTGGTCACAAAAGAAAAAACACTGAACTTCAGTGTAAAACTACGTTGCATTTAGTCCTGTGACAGTGTAGCACGCCATTTTCGCGTTCTAAAAACTCTTACTTCTAAAACGTGGTGAAAATGAGTTTTATTTGCATGAGAATAAAAAATCATTTTCATATCATTGGATTCGCATTTAGCCTCGTTTTCAAACTAAGGCTTGGGGCAACTCAGAAATGGCCCACTGCTTCGCACTAAGCCTTGCTTTGAAACCGAGGCTTGGGGCAACTCGGAAATGAAAAAAATCGACTCACCGTCAAGATGTTGAAAAAGTCCATGTCGTTACACGCTGCCAAGTGCCATTCAATTGGGGGCGGTTCTTTCTCAAATGTAATTTCTGGAGCTAAAGTGTCGTTGTAGGAAGTTGTCTGGAAAGCAAACGACATATTACTAAGAATGATTAAGTAGTCGCTTTCTTAACCCTTTAAGCCCCGATATCCACATATAAATTCTCCATACTGATCTTCATACATTTCTTTAAAGAATTAGTTGAGAGAGTTTGATAACAGATCAAAGTATTTTCTCTTGATCATCATGATCAGTGTATTAACTCTCATAACCATTTCTCTTGGCAACATATGGATATTGTTAGGAGAAAATTGATGTTGGTCACCATTGGGACTTAAAGGGTTAAAAACAAAGGCTGAGACATCATGTAGAGTAAAAAAGTTACATCCATATCTGACTCGATTATCCCAGAGATATTTAGGATTATTATTCCACTATTATGTCATTTTACCATATAAAGTCAGGAGAACGGGCAGAATACGCGGCCGTAATACAACAGGGTGAATACCGGCGGATGCAAATTAAGAAAAAAGGAGCAACTATGACCGACCGAATCAGGATGTTTTGGATACTCTTACTAGAAAATAGAAGCTAACATAACATTTTTCTTTTGCATTAAAATAATTAACCTGTCATTCCATGGTTTGGCATATAATACGCGCGAACATTTAGCTCATTTCAAAAGTAGGTTGTGTTTGATCGTCCGGGTGAACGTGGTCCTGAATAGGACTCAGGGGACTGTAGTCACTGTCAACAACAGTCCTAGTCAGGACTACGTTCACCCCGACGATCAAACACAACCTACTTTTGAAATGACTCCTGGGTTCAAACCTTTCACACATTTTGCTCGTTGTTAACGTCATTCTCACAGACGGAATCAGGATGTTTCTAAATACTCTTACCAAAAACAATGGAAGCCAATTGCAAAATAACAATTCTTTTTTGTAGTGGAATAATAAACCTCTTATTCGATGGTTTAGCATATAATACGAGCGGACATTTCGCCCATTACTCGTATTTTTCCTCGCCCCCTGCGGGGATCGGAAAAATACAACGAAATGGCGGCCATGTTGGTGTCCCAAACAAGTCTTCTGGGAGTTGTACTCTTTTCTTATGTAAACGCTTTGTTTTGTCCGAATAAACTTGCATAGGTGCTGGTCACGTGAGTGAAACGCTCTAATAGTTTGTAAATCAATGTCTACATCACTTACCTTTCTAATGATCACTTTGTTAATGGACTCGACCCAGCGTCTCATAGCTTTGCCTTTGACGCCTTCCAGGAACAAATTAAGTTTGTCTAATAACTCAGCATCACGCTCAAAATCATAGCAATGATTATCCACCCAGTGACGAATAACGTTCAGAACTCTAGTTTAAAAAAGGCAAAGCCAAAATAATAATCAAATGTAGGGCCGGGTTGTTCAAAGCTGAGTTAAGATAACCTAGGGTTAGTGCGAAATTTGAATTCAAATAACAAAGCTTGAAAAGTAAATTCAGTTTAATTCTTTTTATCAAGAAGTTGATGATTGAATGCTCTTAAAAATAACAGAGAAAACTATCCGAGAAAATGCTTTTTAACAAAAGGAAAAGAAACCCGGGTTAAATTTAACCCTGGGTTAAACGCTAATCGGCCTTCGAACCACTAGGTCAGGGTCTCTTGCAGAACACCGACATAAACGTCCAAACTTAAGACGAAATGGACATTTTTGCGGGGCATTTCTTATCATGATCTGAGTTCAACAGACTACCATCATTCAGCTTTGCTTCTGGGATCTCAGTTCGTCATCTGTGAGGGACAAAATAGCAGCTTAATTCTACCGCATACCTTCACGCCCATTGTTGAAACGGTGGGTAACGCTATCCACTAGATAAATCACCCCAGGGGATAAGTGTTAGGACAACCAATTACATTATCCACTGGCTAGAATTTATCAGCTGGACAGCACTATCCACATTTTGACCAACTGAGGCCAGGTGTCGCACGTCTAAAAAGTGTAGAGCGTCCGGATTTATCGTACAGCTGGTCATCTAAAGTGGAAGACCTAGATATGTCCTTGTTTTAAATCCCCTGGCGATCACAAAACGTCTTCAGATGTCGCATATAATCAAAACGATGTAGCGCGTTCAGATTTAAACGTGAAGCTGTCTACTTTAAGTCTAGAGATGCCCTTACTTTTTTTCCCCATTACGCGTAACGTACCCTCGTGATCACACTTTTACACATAAGACTGAAAAACTAAGGGTCACTTTGGAAGAAATATCGCACAGCTACAGAGATGTCACTAAAGCATGGATCATTTCCCCGTTGCCCGTTTCTATTGTAGTACCATCCAAGCTGTAGCAGAGTATATCAATCTAATCCCGCTACCTCACCTGAGTTGCACAGGTTGTGCGTATTCTTTTCTAAATCTCTTGAGATCCTCTCGGACAACAGGCTCCCCCCGGGCCATGGCTAGTTTGTCAAGCTCGCTAGGAGGAGGTTCGGGGATTTCAAATGTAATGCACAGTTAAGGACCTATCTTCATTTCACTCACTTATTCTTTATGAAGAAAAAATATTGAAAAATAACTAAAGTGAAGGAAATTTGGAAATATGATCCTTATTCAACTACCACAATATTCTGAGAACTTTTACTAAAAACTTCTATTCCTGTGAGAACTATCAAGTTCAAAAAGTGTTTCATCCAAATACATGTACGTCTTTGCAACAGATTCACAAAAACCTGTTAAATACCCTACGCAAATCAAAGACTGTATCAAAAAGAAGAAGAAAAAGAAAAAAAAAAACAAGATCATACAGTTACAAAGGATAAAGGATTGTTGGTAGGAGGGCTGTTTTCTGTTCTTTCAGCAATTTAAATTAAACAATTAGTAGTTTCACATAGAAAAGGATATCTCTTAATTAAATAATCTAAAAGTTCCCTTGGTTTACAGAAGGATCTGTACGTGGTAAGAAATGTCCTCACAAACGTTGGATCTGTGAATAGAAAAGAAAAAAAAGTGGAAAAGGGTTACCTGACAAAATAAACAAACAATCAAAAGATAATTGCATAATTGAGAGGGGATAGAAATAAACTATTGCTCCATCTTCAAAACTGTCCTAACCGTTCATCAGTCGAATGCCTTAAATGCGTACGATTCCACAATTGGTTTTGGCTCCGTTAAATCCTTTACCACCAGACCATTCCACGCTTTTTTTTTACAACTTTTGATAAAAAAAAAGAGCAGTAAGCGAAGCGAATATCCATAGAGACTGGTGGAGAGAGGGCGTTAAAAAGAGGTAACTTAGCAAGTTTAAAGATAATACGACCAAAGTCGTGAACTTGCCCCCGCCAAACAAACGACTGTAAAATTCCGCGACTTTGCAGATATATATCTTCGTTCATTTCAAAACAAATCACTTTCAAACTTGGCAACTCGACTGATTTTTAGCCGTTCTTTCCGGCCATGTTGACTGATTTTCGCTAACTTGGACGCAGCCAAAAGCTGCAGTAAAGGGAAAGGCCTATTGGTTAAAATTGCCCAGGCCTAATGGTTAAAAATCCCATTGTCGATTTGTTAGTCAGGTCGAAATTAAGTTCGAAACACATTTTTTGTAATAGTCCAGTTTTGAATTAAAAATTACCGCTGAATGTAAACATTAACGACACATTCATACAGGGTTAGCCTCGACGTAAAGTAAAATATTCAGAAATTCTGGCAAGTAAGTGTTTGAAATTTGAATACAGCTATTTCGAGAAAGGTTGTGCACGCGACAATCTCGAAAGGTACTGTGGCTGGTTTTTAATTCACCGTTTTTCAAAGAAGTTTGAAAAGAATGACACGAGAGGCCATGGACATATGTTTGCGAGTGCTAAAAGAAAGCAACAAAAGTAGGTTCGACAGCTACCGTGTCAGGAACAGTGTATTGATCATATCCTATATTACCTTTCGGGATTGTCGCGTGCACATTTTTTCCGACAACCTTTCTCGAAATAGCTGTATACACAATAGACAGAGTAATAAAGAGGTCTTTTTCTCGTTGGAATTTGTGAATATGTTACTTCAGATTGAGGCTAAGGCTGTAAAAAATGCGTCTTCACTTCTTTAATTCAGCGGTCATAGCGAACTCGAAAATGGACTATTCGTTGAGTCCTTTAGGGGCCCAGAACAACGGTATTGGCGCTGCTTCACAGACCTTACTAACCGGGGTTAGATTACGTCTGCGATGCAGGCTAGAACCACAGGTAGATCAAGCTCGAAATATGAGCATCGGCGAACATCGGCATTGTTGCGCAACATTGGTAATATAAGGATTTGTATGGGGAAAAAACCTATCGTTTCCGTAATCTACGAAAATGAAAGGATTTCAATTTAAAAAAAAAGCTTACCTTACAAAAAGTGTGTGTTACGTCTCTCCTGCGTGCTCCATAGGCGGATTTATGGCCGTTTTATGGGTTGTACTGTAAACGGTTTTCTCTCTTATAAATCGGCCCATGGACCAAACAGGAGAGATGTGACACACATTTTATGTACGTTAAGCTGTATTTCATTGATATCCTTTCATTTTCGTAGGTTACGGAAACGATAGGTTTTTTCCCCATAAAATCCTTATATTTCCAATGTTATGCAACAGTACCGATGTTCGGCGATGCTTATATTTCGAGCTTGGACTACCTGTGCTTAAACTAACCTGCATATTTGTGATTGGTCAGTCTCTCAATCAGCTTGATCAGTGTTCCACCTTTGATAACTGGGGCATTGCTAAGGCTCTTTGAAATGAAGGACAGACAAATAAAATTACATTTGTTTACAAGAACACACTGCTGATGATCAACTCCATAAAATTTTCCTGGTTCTACTAAAATCCTAAATCTTGAACAAAAATGTTTTTTTTTCTTACCCCTTGTCCTTCTTCAAAAACAATATTATCTTCAGCGTCCTCTACAGCAAAACTGAAAATAAAAATAATACAGATGGTTATAAGATATAGGTCCAAATTATTACTCCCCTCACTTTAAACAATCGAGCATGTTTATTACACTACTCAAAATTCCAAACTTCTCAAACGCTTTTCTCCCGCTAATCCTGTCCATGCCCTGTCAATCCCACCCTACCCCCAGAGCCATCATGTGTATGCCCTTACCAACTCCCCTAGTGTACGATAAACTATTGATAATGTTATATATAGAATTCACTGACCAGTATTCTTCGGGGCTTGGCATTCTAAGAGGTATCGCCTTTTCTTCTTCTAACAGCAGATGATCAAGCATCCGGTCTAATGTGCTGTTGAGAGACAAAAGAGAAGTGAATCACTACACAGCCCTTCACTACAAGACTTTTGACAGTTCTTGATGCAAGACCCTTACTTTAAGACAGGGCTATTCACTAAAAACCATTTACAATGAGGTCCATCACTTCATTAAATTCCACTTGAGGACCTTTCAGTACAGAACTACCGTAAATCCCCTATTAAGCCCCCCATCTTTAATAACCTCCCTCCATTTCAGAGGAAGAACGTTATTAAGCCGTACGTTTCTTTTAAGCACCTCCCACCCTATTCCCCTTTATTTTTCACAATCAAATCAGTCAATGCGAGACTGTATTAATTAATCATAACTTAAAAACACTTCATGTCAACTGTTGCAGTATGGTTTATTCACGCGCTGGAAGTTCGAATTTGTTTTTGATCTTCGGCGGCATGAAGTCCAACTTCATTTGCTTGGGTTTGCCACTCTGCATTAAGTTCTTTATGAAAAATCGATATCCTCTTCAGGTTGTTTGATTAAAAGCAGTATATAGCACACCATTTCGCTACATTATATAAGCTCTCTTCAAAAGTGCTTGAAATAGATGAGCTCCCAGGGGGTGGGGGCGGGGAGTTTTATAGAGGATTCACAGTGTTCTAAAACTTGGGACATTCCCTAAAAGAACGCTCCACTGGATAAGATCTCCTAACACATCTTTAAGCTCTCACTGAAGAAACTTCCTTACAGGCTTGGTTTCAAATATTATATTCCTTCATTACACAAGACACGTTGCTTCATAATGGCTGATTGTGGAGGGAAGTAGTGGATGTGGTACCCCTGCCAGGGACCCACTTCTCAAAAGTCTTGGTAAATTTTCAAAATCAAAATCAAAAGAACACCGGCGCATGGTTAGCTCAGGTGAAAGAGTGCTGGTCTACTGAGCAGGAGTTAAAACTCCGGCCAGACCATCAACCACAGGTCTTAAAAAATCTGGTGAGATCGTACATAGCTGTGACTAAAACCCTTTTCTCAGTTCAGATGATCGCGTCATTAAGTGGTGAAGTTAAGCCGTCTGTCTTGTTCATCCTTACACATCATTTGGAGGGGGACATAAAAGAACACACGACATTGTTCAAAAAGAGTAGGGGACGTAGGCCCCGCTGTCGTGGTCTATGTGACTTGTGCTGTCATTGGTCTGGGTGGGTGAGGTGAGATCAAACACGGAAGTGGCAGCATAGTGCACCTTTACATGATGATGTCTGATCTCACCTCTCTGGTTCCTCCACAATTCAGCCATTGGCTGCAAGTGAGGGAGGGTGGCACTCTCGTTGTTGTTGTTGCTATTTTTATTGTTATCATGTTACTATTAAGAACAAAAGCACAGGTCCAAGGATAACAAACCTGTCCAGTTTGTTTTGTTCGATTGATTATTTCACCATATTAGCAGCAAAGCTATTGAAAGCTCAATCTTGTGTTTACATAGCTATAGGAAAACAGCTTTCTGGGAGCTTTAATTACTGGGTCACTAAAGAAATGAGCCCCAGGTCACACTTTTATGGTTAGGCATCCTGTCCAGTAGGGGGGGGGGGGGGGGGGGGGTATTTTGAAAAATATAATTGAGGTTTATTTTTTGTGTTTATATATAGAAGGAAAAACACTTTGGGGGGGCTTTAATTTGGGGGGGCATAAAAAAACGGCGCCCGAGGTCACTTTTTTGGGGTTGGGCCCCCTTCCGGGGGGGGGGGGGGGGGGTGGTGGTACTTCAAGTTCATCACCTGCTTCATGACCTTGCTGATGTTCTTGGAATGTTACTTAACTTACTTCTTACCTTCTCATGTAGATTGTCATTAAACCTGACATCCATTCATTTTTCTCTTCTTCTGTCTTACAGGTGAAGACGGCTTTAGGCTGCTCTCGATCAACTATCTCAAATGCATTCTTTACATCTGTTGGGGAAAAAAACAATTTCCAAAGCTATTACTACAACATGCATGTAACAGAAATGACCATGCTGTGGCATTTCCAAAAAGGGTGAGAGAGAGCTAGACCAAAGGTGAGGGTGACGGCCTGTCCTACCCGTGGTGTCACCCCTACCCTTGAATTAGCAACCACCACCATAAAAAAAATTATAGTCAAGTCTGTTGCAAGCATATCCAAATTAACAAATTGACGCCAGTTTTTTATTAGCGAGTTTAAGATACCACGACGGCGACAGAGGCAAAAACGTCGCTTAAAAAGTGACTTCTCGATCTATGAAACTTTAGCGTAATTATCCCAACTCGGTCACTATGTCTTATGTAGGCGAACTCTCCTGGAGTTGAATTCTTAAGAAAAATATCCAGGTTTACAAAGAGTAAGAGAGATTCGTCGTCGTAAGTTCACGTTGTCGATAAAACGTGAAATTAGGCAATTCACGTCGTAATCGTGCAGTGACGGCAGAGAAATTTACAAAAAAGCGTGATGCACGTGCATAGTTGCTGTTTTGCTAATCTTAACCAATTGTTTTTTGACGTTCTCGTTGCCGTCGCCGTAGTGGCATCTTAAACTCCCTATTGTCTGTCCTTATGATAAAATGACGTCATAACATCGTTAAACTGTTGCCACGGGCGAGTGGATCCACAACAAACTTTAGCAATGTTATGATGTCATTTCATCATCAATAAGAGAACAGATGATAAAAAACTGGCATCAATTTGTTTTTTCAACAACAAAAGCTCGAAAAAGTGAAATATTGCTGGTAAAAATGAGGAAAACACTAGAAAATTCATGACTTTTTTAAGGCGCAATGCTAGTGTCAATAACTTTTCTCACTTGGCGATGACAAGTAATGGAGTTTCATTGGCTAAAAATTTGACAGGTTGAGTCACACCACTGCCCTGCATAAATTAGGAATTAAATTATTGTTTTGCAAACTTCAAACAAGAATGAGATCAGAGGTGTTTATTGTCTCGAAAAACGGAAGCATTTTTGGACTGTATAATGTCGTAAACTAGCCCAAGGTTAAATATTATTCCAGGGAAAGATTTTGGAGCCGTTAAAGTAACTGAACAATAAGCCAAAAGCAATGTTCGGTTGAGCTGTCTGTAGATCAAACTAGCCTGGCAGTTTTGAAGAGTTGCTAACTGATCAGTACGAACAGAAATCGTGTACGGCCAGTTGTTTACGTCAGTTCTTGTCCTGTTTGTTGTTCTGAAAGCCATTCCGCTATATGAGCTGTGTACAATCAAACCGAAAGGTCGGTCTTATAGGCGTAAATTGCATAAATGAAAATTCTATGTGTCTGTCCTCTTATTGATAATAAAAATTAGCCAATCGTCATGCGAGGTATAATTCAGTTATTGTAAATATAGGTAAAATACTGACAAGCGACATGGCCTTGGACCAGGAACATAGAGGTCAGCTGAAATGACAACAAATGACACATAGATGGGTTGAAAATGAAATGATAGGATTTTAAATTCAAACTATAGGGACATAGAAGCCCCACCACCTCCCTTTAGGAGCACCTCCAAAAGGAGCAATTTTGACTTGGAAGGTTAAGTTGGGTGCACTGTGTCAGAACAAAATCATCATCTTTATGTCAAATTGAGTAAGCCAATGCTAAGAAACTGCTCTGAATGATAATAATTATCATTCTTACACAATTATTTTTGAAAATTTTATATTTATTACCTTCTGTATCATCAAGGTTGTTAATTTCAATTTTCCTCAAAAAGTACTTTTCTTTGAGTCTGTACTCTGGGGAAGGTCCTGTTAATGAATGCCGAGTATTCTGCAAGCCATGAAAAAAAAAATCAGTGCAATAGCAAGGTAAAACAAAGGGAGGATGGGTGGTTATAAAACTTTTACTCTTTAGTTTAATAACATTAATTAAACCAATATCTAGTGTTCTTACAATGCAGCTGCCTTACTAGCTTCGGACACGCTCTTTTTCATCACGTGAAAGAAAAGCCGAAAAAGGCTTAAGTACTCTTGCAGTGAAACAAAAGCCAAAAAAGGCTGCACAATACCTGCTTGCAACAAATTAAGAGCCCATCAAGGAGAAAAACATATCTCTCCGTGTCTTTCTTATTGGGATGGATCTTGCCAAGAAGTCCCTCTACATTGAGAAAAGATAAAAGTACATCATACACTGATTTACACTTCAAGTCCCAAGAGTTAAACATTTATTTTCTCCGTACAATATCAAAACATAATCAAGAGATTAGATAATGGGAATTAATCAATGATCACCTGAGGGAAAAATGCTCTCGTCTTTAAACAAGTTCTCTTATCAAATTCTTTAATGAAATGTAAGGGGATTTGTCGGCTTAAAGGGTTAATACTAACAACGTTAATAAACATTATAATATTAATATGAGAAATAATTTCTCATATTAATATTATTGTTTCATATTTCTGCAAAAACTGAGGTGCTCTTTAAGCCAGATATTACAATCCTGCACCATTTAAATCTAAAAAAGATTTTAACCTTTAAGGACAAAAAAAAAACAGTTGTGAAGGGGCTCATCACCAAAACAAATTATCTACAAAGTATGATGTTGAGGTTCACACAACGTTTGGGGAAAATTCATCAGAAAGTTACAAAGTTATATGAAGTAAAACCAGACCTACATGTACTGACTCATGAGACCTGATTAATGCTGCGGCCTTTGGTATAGGAACCAACTGAACTGTAGGATCTTATGACACTGCAGCCTCCAAAAGGGCTTGTCACTTAACTAAAAAATGCCAGCTTATTGTTATAATATTATTGTCATTATCAATGTTATGGTTATCACTATCATTATCCTTATCATAGTTATCATTATTGTTACTTTTTGTTATTATTATTATTATTATTATTATTATTATTATTATTATTATTATTATTATTATTATTATTATTATTATTATTATTATTATTATTATCTGATAAAACAAAGGGTTTTCCCTGGGAAACAAAGTCCAGTCAAGACCTGATGGGAGACCTCAGTCTTCCATCACTGTCCTAAGGATAATTACAGTATGAGCCAGTCCAAGGAGTGCAAACTTTTGCATTGTTCTTTTCTTACCTGGAATTATTATCTTTGGAGTTACTACATTTGTATTATTATTATTTTATTTTATTTTTAATTTCTTTTTTCGTATTCCTTTTTTTGGCTGGAGTTTTTACTCCACTGGCTTAAATATGAGACAAAAGGAATGCAAAAATAAAAGCCAAAACAATTTTTAACTACTTAACTGAATTGCCAACTTTTCATTGACAATTCAGTATTAGTCTTTGCAGCAGAGAGTATACTCAGAGAAATACAGCTCCATAAAAAATTTGGGTATTTCTAATAAATTGGGGCCAAAAAAGTAGTTAAATATTAATTAAAGAACGGAGCAAGTGAAATTTTGCCAACAACCTTACCTTTCATCACCTCTGTACAAGATTGTGAAATATCTCTTCCCTAAAAAGCAACCATATAATATACCTATAAATATTATAAAAAAGCACTTTTAACCTTCGACCAAGAAACCCAAAGACAGCAAAATTAATGTAGAGATATTATTTTAAGCTCTTTATCTTTAACACCTCAACCAGGAACTGCCAAACACATTGTTTGATGGCCTGAGGCCCTTAGATTTTTCTGTTGTGTGAGTACAATACAACATTATTAGAATTTACAGCCAAAAGAGAAAATTAAATCATTAAAGATTATGGAAGTTTTTGCAAGCTTCAAGAAGATCCAAACTAGAAAACTGAAGGGTTGACCAAAATTTTTCATCATTTTTGTCTCACCCTACATATTAAGTGGAATGAATGGCAGGCTGAAGCAGTCACTAATTAAAGACAGAAAAGTCACAATCTGTTGATAGGAGGTATACATTTTGTAATTATTTCAATTTTTACGGGATTTTTCAGGTTAAGAATAGAACTGATGGAATGCCAAAAAAATGTTTGGCAGTTCAAACAAAAGAAACTGTCTTTCTTAACTTCAATAATAATAATAAGTATTTTTTTTAAAAATTTAATTCCACAGTGTAGCTGGTTTTTAGCAGTCACTAGTCCTCTGAGTTTCTTAGCTTACTGACCAAATCGTAGGTACAGTGGGTGGCTGACTATTCCACAGTTTGACGTAAGATTTACATACAGATTAGTACAAAGCTATAAGTTACTATACAATGCAGTGTGTCCATCTCTTCACCTACCTCCCAACCATCGATGTTCCTCTGCAGTTCATTCATCTGAACTGCTGCTGAACGGAATGCCCCAGACTTCCTCTTCTGAGCTCTGCCAAACTTGAAGTCTCTAAAATGCAGAGAATATGAAATATATATGTAGAAAGCTTAACTAAAATTCTTAAAACAGCTATGGAATATTTTGAGTTACACTGTAAGTTTGTATACAAAGCAAGTGTTGGGCTAGTGTAAAAACAAAGTTATGAAGGAAGCAAGGAGGAGAGGCCAGAGAAAAGGACAAACACTCAGGGAGGAAATTAAAGTTGATGATGGCTACGACGAGTGCTTCAATGCCCAGGAGGATTGTAACACACTGGAATTTTCTCATACTTACTCTCTTTTCTTGGCAAGACTTCCAGAGGACTGAACTATTCTTTCCATTTGTGCCTGGAGGGGTTTCAAAGCACTCTGGGCCTGTCAATAAGAATACAATATTTTGGGTTTGGTTAAACAGCTATCACTGATAAATTCTATAGACAAAAATTTATTTTTGTACCTGATTTAAACTGTCAATATCAGCTTCATCAGGAGATGTTCTTAACAACAACTGAAAAATAAAATAGAAATAATTGCATTTCTTTGTTATCACTTTAATACAGATATTTCTCTCACATAAGATGTTCTGCTTCAAAAATAATATTGCAATAATATTGCAGTAATATATTTTTTTCTTTTTATAGTTTATGTTATGTGTACTCTAGAAATACAAGAATGCACAATAAAAATTAATAAATAACAAAATAATTAATGCTTCCACTTTACTAAATTCAAAAAATTAGACAATAAAAACAAAGGAATTCTAGATCTGACAATTTATTGAAAAATGTTGCCCTCACGAAAATTGTCTATTTGCAAGTCATAACCACAAAAATTGATTCAACCCATTGACGATAATATTCTGTTCCCAGAAAAAAAAAGAGGCAGCAACAAGGTAGTAACTGAAGCGAAAGCTAGAGGGAACACTCCAGGAAAAAGCTATTTATATGGGTATGGTTTAATTAAACTGATTTTTGTCCATTAGCATAGCTCCTTAGATCACAATTTTTTTTCTGCTTACAAACAAGCCCGCAACTTAAGACTCATTTAAGCTGCATCAAATTCTTTACCTTGATGAGATCAAAGTAGTGTAGACATTGATAAATAGGCATCATAAGCAGCTTGGGAAGGCAGTACTGGACAGCTTCCTTAAAACCAGGACCTTTTGACTTGATAAAAATAAAAAATCAATCATTCAAAGTTATGGCAATGATTTTGCCAATGATACCCATCATCAAAAAAATTGGCAAGAAAAAAATTTCAGCAATAATATTATTGGCTGTTGAAAATGATCTTAACTGTTAAATCTGATGATGACATCCTAATATGAAAAAAGCCCCAGACAGTCAAATAATAACAATTATAATAATAAGCTTTATTTTGATAATTATTACAATTACAATTATTGTTTTTATTATTATTATTATTATTATTTTTATTATTGTTATTATTATTATTTTTAGTGCATATTTTCCATGCAAAAAGAATAATTTTTCATGGTGCAGTTTACTATGATGTACAGTGCAAACTGGTTCCAACTTCTGAATGTTTTGAGTGGATGAAAATCTTCACTATTCCAATGAAAGCTGCTCAGGAATAATTCCTCTTGTGTTATGTTTTGTACACTGTTCACAGTCCCCTATTTTCCCGTAAGATCGTCGAGATCGAGCGCTTTGCGTTACAAGCTGCCATCTTGTGTGAGTGTCAAAACTACGTAGGGGGTGGGGGTGGTTTGGTAGGAAGCAAGAAAAACAGAGGGACTGTAATAACATCACTGCAGCTCATGTTCAGGTGGTGTGACAGGCATTTCACGCCTTTTACCATTCACTTAAGAAACTCTCCTGGCAATGAAAAACATGCCAAACAAATTTAGCAGAATTTCGCATGTTTACAAATAATTTATCTCCTTTTGTACAGTTTCTAGGACAAACATGTCAAGGTGAAACATTTTCCTAATTGAAGCGCTAAGCATGCTCACTTCACCAAAGCCAGGCATTTCTGAAAGGTCGTCTTTTTGCATTGGCATAGCGTTAAATTTCAGTTGGTTTGAGAGAAACGTTGTTACAACATTCCCTTGGCCAGGCTGCTTCAAAAGCATGTTGGCTTACGTGATTAATGAGGAAAATAACAAAAATCCTTTGTGTCTTTGAACAAGATGTGCTTTATGGTGCGTTTTATAAAAACAATGACTTATCAGTGTCAACAACTTAAGCTAAGCCCATTGTCAACGCAAATTATTATCTATTATCTAATGACTAATCAAACATCATCAGTGATGTTAAATTTACAGTCCATCCATTTTTCTCGCCCCCCCCCCCTCCCTAGAGCTATAAACCCTGATGCCCGCCCCCTTGGTACATTTCACAGTCAACACGGCTGCCATTAACAGTAAGAAGCACTATATCTTGACGATCTCATGGAAAAATAGGGGACTGTGAACAGTCTATATGTTTTGATAAAGAAAAGTCAAAGGTAACATCTGGTTATTAGTTTCTAATAGTGAAGGGCAGCCATTCAAAAGGAATCTTAATTAGGCTCTTCTTGTTTCATGTTATAGCTGCTTCTTATTTTATAGGGGTAAATAAAACAGTTGAAGTTCTAGGACCTGTACTAATCAATTTAATTCAGGCCCCAGTACGCATTGTTCACAAGGTGGATGAAGGTGGATTTATTCACTAGCTCAATCTCCATCCGTTTGGGTGGCACAATGGTTTGCCTAACGTTTATCCAATGGATAGGTAATCCAGTGGATGGTGCTATCCAGGCTTTGAACAACTGGGGTTGAACAACTGTTAGAGACCAGATACTGTAACGGTAAAGTTCTGTTCACTATAACAATTATTTATTTTATCAAATTAATAAATTAAAAATGGAGCCTACATACCTTGAAATAGTCATTGACAGGAGGTCTTAGTAACAATTCTGAGAGCTTCCCACCAATCCCAAGATGTCTATACTGCTTGCTTGCCGATGCTGTCTGCTCACGGGCATATGTCTCATAAACTTCAAACTCAGCTCCCTGGTATTAGGCAAGCACAATCATAATGAATTAAGCATGCAACCTGCTCGGAGTAGATGCTATAGTACCAAGAGATTGGTTAGCCAGATGAAGTGATTATTTTAGATGAACGCCTGCTATGAAAAATTTTGCTTTAATTTACCTGTACATGTATCTCAGTCTTGTCTGATTTTTTATGAGAGCTACACAACTAGTCCCCAGTAAAAATGGGAATCGGATGAATTTCATAATCATAATCGATCATCAGAAGTAATACAAGCTTTAAGTGCTTTTGAACTGTGGACCACTGGACTCAAATTTTATCTCAATAAATTTATTACACTGATCAAAATTCTCTTTCTCTTTCTCTTTGCCAGTGTCAGCACTGGAATGGCTTTTTTTATCACACATAAGTAACTAGGCTCTAGGCTTTTACGGAGCAAACTGTGCAAAAATGTGTATGATTCAGGTGTTCACACAAGTCTGTGTAAAAGTGGAACTATACCGGTACAAAAAGGTGGATCTTTACATTTCTGGAAAACTGCCAACCTACCCCTCCCCTAAGCCAACATTTTGCCCTAAGTGAGAAGTAAGTCTTAATGTTGGCTTAGGGGAGTGGTAGGTGGGCAGTTTCATAAAAATGTATAACGATCCAAACATTTGGACCTTCTTCTGATCTGGTCAAAAGCATGCACACTTTGCCATTCAAAAACTTGCATGGTTATATGGGTCGTGCCCATATAAACACAAGGTGGATTTGGCTATTTTTTGACCATTCAATACTTTGCCCAGACCTATGCAAAAATGGGGTCATACACACAGGTTACCTCTGCCATTTCTTCAAAACATTCCCCAATTGCTGGTTGCTTCCCTTCATCTGCTACTTCAATCGCTGCATCCAACAACCCCAGAAATGTCACAGAGAATTCATAGATGTCAGTGATATTACTGAAAATTTGGTCAATATCCTGTAAAATATATAATCAGGAAGAAAACATAGTTACTCCTCAGTTGTGAGTACATTTGAAGGAGTTACCAGTAACCAAATACAACAAGAATGATAATAATATAGAGTGTAGGTACATACGTTGCGTGTGAAAAGATCCTTTGCTTCTACAAAAGGTGCTCTAAAAACCTGTAAAATCAATCAAATATCCACATCTTGTTACTGTCCTAGAGCCCCACGTGAATGGATGCATGCAAGGGGAGCCTCATAGATAAGGAATTTGGTCTTTCGATCCAAGAAATTTTGGTAGTCTCATGGCCATACATCCATACCACAGGCAAACCAATGTGAAATGTCACACTTTCTAGCTAGTGCGGGAGCCTGGAATGCCTTGATAATGCACACCCATGTTGTTGTCAACTGATAGCTGTCAAAACAAGGTATCCACTGACCAGTATCCCATGATTATACCATGGACTCAGGTGTGGACCCATTGAGGTTTAATAAATTACGTTTTTTTAAGTTTTCTGCCAACGCTTTATTAGCCTTCAAAATTACTGATGGGAGGCTTAACTCCAAGCAGATTTCTTTGCAATGGTTACAAGTTTATTGACTGAAGCAAGTTATAAATTTGTTAACAGGAGCTTCGCCTTTGGCCTTGGCTAAATCTTTACATTAAATTATGTTAAATGGTAAAAGTGACACACATTTGCTAATACCTTGATGATCATGTTCAAATCCCTAATGTACTGGCTCTCAGCAAGCATCACTTCACGCACAACTTCCTCATAAGTAAGTGCAGTTTCACGGCTTAGAGTCTAAAAAAGGAAGATATTTAAAAGAGTTTTTAATCATGACAAGGCTAGCAGATATAGCTTTCTTATAATATTGGAAAACTAAGAAAACTATCAGCAAAAATAATCTTGGCATTTACAATCATTATATCTTCAGGAAAAAAGCAAGGATTCATAAGAAAATCTGCAGGTGCAAAGTGGGAAAAAGTTGCAGTTCTATTACCAGTTTCTGCAATGGTTCCTTCTGTGCATTTTTAGCAAAATTGATTGCATGCCACTTAATACATTGCATTCAAGATCGAGAATATGAACTTTACCGGAAAAATATCCACTCCTGGATGCTGACCCCCAGTCCCACCTGATCTATACTCTGTACTCTGCCCAGGAGGGCCCCCTACTGGTTCCCCTTAGTTCCTAGGGACTAGGGGATATGGGCCTCACCCCCAAAGACTGATCAGGATATCCCCAGTACATGTAGCACTCGATTTTGTCTCTCCCAAAGAAGGCTTCTCTCCTGGTCCCCTTAATTACCCCTAGATTTAAGTGCTTCCCTACAACCTAAATTTTGTCCATTACTTTCCTGCAGTGTTTTCTGTTTGGCATAGAACTGTTACGTGAAATCATCCACCAACCACAAGAGTTTATTAATGAAAAAGAATAAGGTAAATTGGATGCAATGTTGTAAGGCAAAGCAATGTGGAGAAAAAACTGTTGACCGAATCACTTCATTTTTTTCATTAAAAGCTTTGATCAGCATGTAATCTTTCCTTGCATTATTACCGCTTTTTCAAATAGAAATGTCATGGGAAAAGAAAAAATGATCACCACTGGTACAATGTCTTGACTTGAGACAAATTTGCCTCACTGACCATGCAATAACAAATGTATGGATCAAGGGCATTGTGAAAAATGATTATGCATCTTGCTTTAAGGGTTTATAAGAGGGCAGTGCACAAATGTATTATTAATGCCAACCTCTGCCTCCACAGATGTTTCCACGTCATCAGGATGAAACATATCCATTAATACCTAAAATGTACACAATATGAACAAATGTTACACGATGTTTGCACAGCTGTGCTCTTGAAGAGCCTAGTGGCCCCTGCAAGGTTTTAGCCAGAAGGGTGTCCAGCCATCCTTCATGTATGGACGCCCATTTTTGGAAGAAATATAAGGAAAATTCACTTAATCTCCAATAATTTTTTGGGAAAACATGCCTTCTGGATGGCCAGTTTTCAATGTCTGGCTAAAAGTCCGGGCCCCTAACAACTAATTTTTGACTTTAAAGAAGGACAGGATAATCTTAGTTTTTGCATCAAATTTTTATCATTAACACCTTTAATTTTATATGGTCAGAGCTATTGGGTCCCTAATTAGAAATGTGCTTACAGCACAACCTTAGTTTATTGTTATTAATATATTTCTTCAAAATCAAATACGACTGTCACATTGAATATTGACGCACATGTAATTATAATAATAATTGTTATTATAATAATAAGATATCAACATATCTCATTACAGAACTTAACAATAATATTGTCTCACAGCATTTACTGACAAAAAAAAATGTGTTGTCTTCATTACAAGGTATCAATTGCATTTTTAACAGGCCTTTTTAAAACATTTTATTGTAAATAAGGTGATGAGTATCATTTGCTTTTCCACACTATAATATAAAAACTTGTGTATACATGTACAATAAGAATTTGCTTAGAATTTAGGTTCAAAATCAAGGGTGCGGCTTATCTAGGAAAAAATCTCTTTTGGAAAGTGTAAAAATTATGTTACTGTAAAGGGCACAATGGACACCAATGATCATTCGCATCAGGAAGATAGAAGTAAATATTATCCATTCAGATGGTTTGAATATAATGTTCATAAATACATGAAGAGCATCTGCAGTTTCTGAAGAATTGTGATGTCCAATATCCTTCTGTAATGCAGATTGCAATACCTAAATCCTCAATAGATACTTTGATAACTTCAGAAAATGGCTTAAAAGTGAGCTAAATGGACAAAAAAGCAAACACACTAATGGAGCGTTATTGGTTTCAGAAATGAACATGGTGTAATGTGATTCTTGTGAAATATTTCACTTGTTGCCGTTGTTCTTCCCTAGCATGCTACCAAAATTTTCTCACAAATTTCATTACACGGAGTAATCTTGCTGACGTTTTTGGGCAAAGAATTGAAATTGATTTAAATTTAAGTATTTTACAAACAACATCACAGATTAGGTCTTCCTCAAAGTCCAATTATAGGGATCAGAATAGAAGATGTGCTTCTTGAAAATAATGTGTTTTTTTTATTTGTTTCCATTTGGTCATCAGTGAATGACAACTGCAATGTTCTGAATGACAATAACATTTATCCCATGACTGAGAACACAAGTCAAGATGTCCATTCAAATATCCTAACATGATGTTCAAACACTTTTGCAATTCTTTCAAATAACAATTTATATGAATCAACTATTCAAACAGTGAACCAAACCTTCAAAACAGTTTAATAATCAAGCTGTTCAAATGGTGAGTCAATTCGTTTCAACAGTCAGCCAAACATTTACTCAATCACACAAACCATTTGAACACTTCAGCTTATCATTATAATTATTATTTTTTTCAAATCACAGTTGAAAGTTAGGGGTAAGGCATAAAGAAACATTTTTATGGTAAATGAATTATTTTATAAATATAAAAGAGATCACTGCACTAGAATCAAGAAGGCACCATACATAAACAAACATAAACATAAAAAAAAATCGTACGAGACCTTGTCAGCGAATAAAGCCACCTTTATGTCCTGGCATGTGATTTCAACATGTCTGATGTTCTTAACATAATTGCCAGCCAGCTGTTAGGAATGAAAACAGGAAGCATGAGTGCGAGAATCTAATCGGACTCAAAGATCTCTCAGAGAGCAGACACTCTTTAAAACTGACAGCTTCTCTGTTAACAGCCTTGTAAAAAACCTGTCTAACCCCCAAGTGAGTTCCGATAAACTGCTTGATTCTCCTTATAAATTACTATATATTTTCTTTTGAAACAGTTGGAAAATTTGACATTAGAGCAAGAGCCACTTACATTGTAAAGGCTTATTTCATGCATCCCATCATTATTATTTATGGTGTTTACAGTTTTCATAGAAACTGAAACACTATGCAGGCATCTTGTATATTAGTCCATAATGTCCATAATAAAAGCGATAATTCCGACAACCAGATACAAAATACTGTTTGATTCAGTTTGCAAACAAGAGAGTCTATTACACTCTAGTCATTTCTTGTCATTTCCTCAATTTAATTTTTTTTTTTCTAGTCAAAAGAAAGTTTGCAAAAAAGGGGGTCATTGGCATGTTAAATAGCATGAAATTGAAGTGTGACCTGTTGCATCGAAAAAATTGTTTTTCTTGATGCAAGAAGTCACACTTCATTTTCTCTTTGACATTAGTCATCGGAGCGCTATAAGACATGAAGGTGGAGTGTAACTTAATGTGCCAGATACATAAGTGCCACCTCACGAATCAAAAATTTTTCCCCCTATGCAAGAAATCACACTTTATTTTCTTCAACAAAACAGGTTATGTTTCATGTATATATGACATAGCAAGCCAATAAAATCACAAGAGCAAAACAGACACACCAAAAACTGTAAACACCTGAATCCCATGGGCAGTCAGTTTCCACTATACATAGTTGTGTTTTCTATGAATGTTTGCATGTACATGTAAAAGTCTTTGATAAAGTGACTCTTTGGTACAACAACAAACCAAACATTTATCACACAGTAGTTGTAAAAATGTTGTGCTGAATGAACACAACTAACTTTACTTCCAGCAATTAGATGATTTTGACAACTTCTACTTTTTCACATGTTATAACTGGAGGGTCTGGTTTTGACCAGTCAACACACTTCCCTTCTTCGTCTATGATATTATAAACTGTTGCACTACAAGTCTCAGTGGGGGGGATTGGGTCAATTATGTGCAGCTGGCCTCTTAGAAACTCTAACCCATTATCAAGGCTGTGCTCTAACGAAAATTAAAGGGAGCCCAGAGCTCTGAACCTGTGAAATCAAGGGTGCCCAGCATAAATTATGATTTGCACGAAAAAAGTAAGATTTTCTAGTACTGGGCTCTGCTAGAAGAAAATCAGTACCCCAGCTAGTAACTCTATAGAAAAATGCAACCTTGTTAAAGTCAATCCAGTCATAAGAATGTAATCCCATTTAAGGCCACATCTCCACTGGCCTTTTACAAAAAAGTACCCTCCACCCCCCATCAGCACCCCAATCCCCATCCCTGCCCAGAATCTGACAATAGATCCAGCAATCCCTACTATAAGTGCCGGGGCCCAGTTTTCAAAAGTCCCGATAACTGATGGGCCCAGAACATTTTTGTATCGGTTGTCAACAAAATTTCAGTACTGTAGTTTTGCTGATAATGTGACAAAACTATCACAGTTAACAAAACAAAATGGACTGGTTGGTTAGCTAAGCTTTGGCCCACACTCTAATTCTTTAAATGTTTATTTGAATAATTATTGTTTTGATCTGGGCCCAAAACGATACCAGGACTTTTGAGAAATGGGTGCCAGGTGAGCCTAGACCACAGTACAGTCAAAACAGAACCTGTTTCGCACAAAATTTCTTGTTACAAAAAAGTGCAGAAGGTATCAAATGTTTTCTGCACCTGTAACCTCCTCTCCCCTTACTCATATCTCATGACTAATATCTCATTACTAATTAGATAACTGGGGTTTCATGACAGATAGATTAGATTTGAACATTCAAAGGCTTCTTAAAAGCTTCTGTAGCTTATAAATCTGGCAATTTGATGAATCAGGCAAGCTTACCTTTAAGATATCAGCTGAAATATACTCCATTACTGCAACAATGTAAAGAGACACTTGAAACTCAACCCTGAATCCAAGAATATCCTGAAAAACAAATCATTGTGTTTCTTTACTATGTGCACACTGTACCAGCTGATGCTACTGCATGGGGGGAGGGAGGGGGTTAAGTTTAGTTTAAAGAGAAAATGGACAATATTTTGTCCTGTTTAAACATCCAAACGCATTTGAAATTTTAGACAAACCTCAAAAGAATGATAAAATTTGATTTTATTTGTACAAAGTCTTCCCCAGGGCAACAAAAAGTACAGCTGTAGTTAAAAATAATTCATTAGTCTATTTTTATCAATGCATCGTATATTTAATCAAGTGTTAGAATAAAAGCATGAAACATAGTGTTATACAGGAAAGGTAGTAAGAAATTTTGATGGTGATAAACTGGGTGGATATTTTTCTATAAACATTTAATATAGAGTGCAGTCTTAAGTAAATACACCAGAATTTGTAACATATTAAAATAGTGAACTGAAATGGCAATATGTATATAGCTCAATTAAAAACAATCTAAAAAGGAGAAAAACGAAAAACCGCATCTAATTTCCTCGATTGTAATATCTAGTGAGCATTTTATGGGAAAATTGACCGGTGTTCTTTAATGGCAAATTTAATTGTTTTACAACCGCAAGCCGGGTAACAACAGATGAAATAGACAATAAAAAGTACTTCAAACAGGTATACAAACTTAAGTGTACAGAAACAGAGAAAAACTTATTTTGTTGCGTACTTTGTAGGGTGTAAAATAATCACAGGATAAGCAGCCTTTGAGCAGGGTAAATTTGCGAAGTCATTAGACTTGTGATAGGTGACAGCTGCTTAGGATGAAAACAAAACCACTGTAAGACTCGGAATCGAAGTAATAAATCACCTTTACAATCAAAGGGTGCACTTTATCCGCAGGTAGCACAACTGGGCTTTTCTTCCTGCCCTTTTCGATGGCGGCTTGTGCGTCTCCAATGGCCCATTTATCGATCGGATGGGGGAATGTATTGATCACTCGTTCCTCGACATCAGCAACTGACCGAGGCTGGCCCGCACAGAGGTGATTCAGAAGTTGTATGATCAAAGATTCGATGTATTCTAGGGCGTCATCGTGAACCTTCAACGAGGGGTGAACCTGCGATTGGACCTAAACCGAATTTGAAAGATGGGATTAAAACAAAAAGTTTAAAACAGAAATCCCTTTCAGTGAATCACGCCTCCTCTTTAAGTTATAAATGGGATTGTGAGAATAATATATTCAGCAAAACTCTCCCATAAAAAACAATACCCGCTGATTTATAAACCTTCTTTTCAAACCATGAAATAAACAATCAATAGGGTGAAAAGAGAAAATAATCAATCGGAATTTCACCGTTTCTTCTCAGAAACAGGAATGCGATGGCTCAAATTTTCCTTTTAGCTAGCTTGAGCTTACCTTTCTAAGAGCGGGTACAAACATTCCCTTCCATTTTGCGATGTTCAAATTGTTTTCATACTCAGATATGGGCATGTTATTCCAGAGAAGTCACATATCATTCCAAACCACTGGTAAAAGAATCAGAATTCACAGCCATTTTTTTGAGATCCAGAAACTTGTGACATCAATCGTACGAACGCGCGTTCGAGGTACTTCCTCTGCGGATAACCTGATTTGCATCTACATTATTTGCCTGTCAGGCTATGTATGCAAAGATGATGATGTCAGGCTACGACGCTTTAACGCTTATTACCTACTTCGGCAGTTTGTGGGTTGTTTTACAAACGAAAGGAAGCTTGATCGGAAATATTACATCAAAACATTGGATTTGATTGTGCAGGGCATGCATTTCTCTGGACAAGTGCGCGCATCTATATTTGCCTTCATACGCTGACAGACTACATTGCAGGCAATTTTAGTTTCTTGTTTCATCATAGGCATTCTCCACTTCAGCCAAAAAATCGTGTAACTGAAAGATTCTCGGCTTAAATAATGTCTTCAGAAAAGTTTGAAGACCTCGAAGATGAACTAAAAACTCTACAAGAAGATATAAGTGGGAAAATAACCAACAAAATCCCAAGATTAACTGGAGGTAAGAGCGAGCAGCCACTTGTTTTAAGTTTATATTCAAGTATTTATCACATAAATGCTTTTTTTTGTATGTACCAGAGTTAAGGAAAAGTACAATACGGGAAGTGGAAAAAAAGATTGAAGATGCAAAACTAATTGTAAGTGTTGCCCCTAAAATAACTTAAGTTTGAACAGCCCAAAAAATGCGAACAGAAACCACCGTATTTTATTAGAGGTTAAAGATTGTTTAAGCTAAATTCAGCTCTTCTGTTATTTCCAGTTAGTTGTTACTATTGTTGATACCTTTTTTAAATCATTTTCCTATTTAAATTTATCATTTCTTTTGTGTTTACACTCCGACTTTGGATAAAGTTTATATCTGTCGTGTCACGTGAGCTCAGTAAAAGGTGATATCATAGTAAAATGATGGAGGAGGGATGATGTGGGTATAGATTTTACCTTGTCATTTATATTTTAGTGGAAGGGGCTGATAAAGCAAGTTCAGTTTTTCCAACCCTGTCTTATTTTATGAAATAAAAAAGTGATATCCTCACTTTTTGAGGGGGACGTGGGGGTTTACTTAATTGCGGTATTGGGCTTTTTTTCAAAGGGTATTTCAGTAATTTTGATTTTAATGGGCGGTATTGTGGTATCATGTAGCCCTAGGGTATGCGGTTTTTTATCCTTCTGGCTGACGGTATTTGGTGAAAGAAGATCCTTCTCAGTATTGTGGTACCGTTCATTTGCATCCTCCTGTCTAATGCGAGTGAATATTTGGAAAACTTTACTTCAGACTTAACTGTAAATGATTACATAATTTGTGACAGTTAATATACAGAGGAATTGTCATTGGATCTAATGATCAGTCTTTTCGATCATTGCACCGATAAATTGGAGGTCTTCTCACGTTTTCTAGCAATGGCTGAGGTTGATTTCTTGTGCATACATGCTTGAGTTAAACAAACACGCGGATTGGATACAACTTTAAGTAAGCGTGACCAATCATAAATGCGGTATCGGTATTTCGTCTATTCTCAACACAGTATTTTGGTATTTGCCAATTTTTCCTCCGATATTGGGTACCCCCCAATGTCCCCCTCCTTTTACACTGCATTCAGCACTGATTGCAGCAAAGTAAGCCTGTTTAGAAATTGCAGGCTCTGTATTGGAAATAAATAAAAATTATTAATAACAATTAAGTCTTTATTCTTCTTCAAATATCTTTGAATATCTTTTGATTTTGTTAGATTGAGGAGATGGAAGAAGAAGCCAGCTTTGCTCCTGGTGCTTACAGGAATTCCTTGATGTCCAAAGTACGAAACCACAGAAGAAATCTTGATCAACTCAGAAGGGATCTGGTAAGATTAAATTGTTTAAAAATTGATTAAATTGTTTAAAAAAAAAAAAAAAAAAAAAAGATTAAATTGTTTAAATAGTAATATTGTTTCTGTTGTTGATATGAAGAACATTTTGCAGATTTTGTATCATTTTTGTTTTTTCAATTAAGGCAAAACCAAGTGGGCAAGTAAATGTGTCATTTGGAAGAGAAGAACTTTTTGATTCAGATCCTATGGTAAGCTAATATTATTAACCCCTGCACAGTTAACATGAAATTTTCAAATATCAGATTGTGTTCCAAAAAGAAGTTTAAGAATGAAATTCCCATGCTAAATTTTATAGAGCTCAAGTGCTAAACTGATACAAACATTGCACTAGTTGTTATGTGGCTAAATGTAATTAAAGCATAGTTAACCCATTCACTCCTGGAGATTTTGCCGAAAAACGCGTTTTGAAGTTAGTCGAGTGGTTTTCTGGTCACTGTCATGCTATAAAGAGCTAAAACTTACCACAAACCGCTTTACAGATCGTACCCTTGATGGCCTTCTGATCCAGATGCAAAATATCAGCTTGCGAACTTCGGGCATGCGCAGAAAGCAAAATTTCGACATAGTTTTTGGGTTTAAAAGTGACACAGCAGTCTTGACTTTTACTTTTCACCTTCTCTCCTCCCCTCTTTTTTCGCTTTTCTTGCCTCATTTTTTTTTCTCTTGCTGGGCATTTAGTAGGCTTCATTTTGGTGGGAATAGTTTTTCGGAAAGCTTTTAGGATCTTAGGATTAGGTGAAAGGAAAGGTAGGTGGGCAATGGAACAAGATTTTCATGGAGATTTTCAGGTCAATGTTACATGGTTTTTTGCCTCTTTCTCCGGTTTCCTTGACTGAATTGTGCTCATTCTGGTATGGTTTGAAAGATCTCTTCACTCTGCACAAGTTAGCGGGCAAAGTTGTCCTTGACCGTTAAAACTGATGACGTCACAAAGGGTAGAAAGGACGTGGATCCGCACGGGCGGTTACGGGCGGTTCAGGGGCGAATGGGTTAAACATGAGACAGTGCTGGATAGCAGTCTCCATCTTTTATTACCTATGTAGGGCAGTCTTTGGGAATTTGCAGGGCTCTAGTCATTTTACAGCACTTTCATTGAGGTCAATCATTTCACTCATATTGCCCTCAGTTGTCAGTCACTTCAGTTGGTTTTGCTTCCTCCCCTTCCCTCTGCAGCTGGATGTCCCTTGGTAAGTCTCTACAAAAATCTCCACTGAGATTTTCAGTGTAACAGTGCATGGTGGTTGCCACTCACAGGGTTATCAAACGATGTGAAGTCACATGGTTGAAAAATACATATATTAAATTGAGCATTAACAAGTCACACCCATAAGTTGGACAATATTGCCATTAGAATATATGACTTGAAAAATCTCAGCAAAAATTATTTTAAATGTTATTGTTATTCTAAACTAACTAATAATTCATTTCAGAAACGCTTTTAAATTTGTACAAGAAACTAATTTACTTCTATGGCATTATTTCATTAGGCTCCGCAGAGAAACAAAGTGATGCGTGGAACTGAGACTTTAAACAGAGCCTCAGAAAGTATTGCAAGATCTACCAGAGTTGCTGTAGAGACTGGTAAGTTTATTAACACATAGATTCAGGGCTGTAGTCTAGCTGGGCACCCGTGATTTCACACGCTCAGAGCACTGGGCTTCCTTCAATTTTCCTTAGTGCACAGCGTTGAGATCAAATACTCTTGACTGTTTACAAGCAGTCATTACAGCTGCTAAAGGAGGATCAAGAAGATATCCATGAGCCTACCTCTCCCAACTGTGGTACCCTGGACCAATACCAGACCGTAGCATTGTGGCATTGCCCTACTTTTTTGGGAAATGCGGCACCATATATAATTAGCCCAAGAGGCTCCAAGGGCACCAAGAAGGAAAAAAAAACATATGACAAAACATATGTAAGCATCCATACACATAGATACATGTCCCTATAATACACAGCTGTAAGCCAAAATTTAATTGGTTATTGTATCTTTAGAAAACACACGTCATTACCTAATACTCAGACCTGTGAAAACATTGAGTTAACTGTATCTAAAAATTGTGACCTGCTTTTCTCCCTCAGCTTAGCTTCTCTATGGGTCCTGTGGACCCCAGTGTACAAAGTCCTGGTAAGAACACTGGGCATCAAACTGTAGGCCCTTTCTCACAACCCTTGCACGTATTATAAATTCTGTGGGACCTTAAAGAACCAACGCACTTTTCATCAACAGTACATGTATGAGATGCAGTATCTGATGTGCTGGTGCAGGGCCTGAAATAACAGACAGTCAACAGCCAATGTCTGGACTGATTGGGGAGTTGACCGGTCAACCTTTCATATTGCCGGTCATGTTGACGGGTCAATAATTGACCTATGACCTTCAATATGATCTAATTATTAGATCATATTGAAAATAAAATAAATTAAAATTTCCACGCTGTTCAGTTATTTCAGTTGTTATCAGTATAATATAGCAAGTCAGTGTATTGCGGAACTTTAAACTGAAATTCTGGGTGAAATGCAACTAGAAGGGTGTTTAGAATTTGCACATTGAAACAGACATCAGGGTTCATGCACCTGCAGAAAACTGAAATAATTATAATTGGAGGTGCCAGGCAAATTGCATTTGTATGATAATGATATTTAATGTGTTACAGGTTAGTGTTACAGTCAGTGTTTCTATGAAATAAATACACATAATAAGCGTAGTTTCATTTCTCCACTGTAATATATTTTTATTGTTGAGAATGAGTGCTTTAAAGTGCGATTTTAGCTCTAAGCAACGACTTTTTTGAAAATATGTAACGCTAGTTTTGATTCATGAGACCCTGTTTTAAGAGTTATTTATCTTATAAATTTGCCTGGCCAGAAACAATGTGTGACCAAGCTAAAACGATTTTGGCCAGTTATCGTGTCCAGAGACTCCCCAAAAAAAATATTTCAAGCCCTGTGGTGTATCTCTGATTCACTCTCACATTTAGGGGGCATCACCATTGCTTTTAATAATAATGTAAACTGAACCATAAGCAGTCTGGCAAAAGTCCCCCAACCAGTGTTTGTAAAGTATCCCTGAAAAGCCCTGAAGGGAGTGAATAATAAGATATTTACTGAATTGACAATTATTTTTACAATTTTCAAAGGCTTTCCGTTATTTTACATTGTTTTTGCTGATCTACATTGACGTATTTTTTATAGAACAAATTGGTGGTGAAATAATTGAAGAGTTAGGTGATCAACGAGAGGCACTAGAGAGAACAAGAGATAGGGTGAAGACAATCTCAAATTTACATTCATGGCTTTTACAACTATAAAATTATCACATACCTTATTGCTTAATGTACATATTATTGTTTATTTTTTCTGTAGCTCAAAGATGTTGATCAAGGCCTGGGTAAAAGCAAGAGAATTTTAAATAGTATGGCTATCAGGTAACATAAAACAAAAAACCTTCTCAATTGATATTATTTCTGCTAGTATCTATTAAAGAGTGCTACTCTAAAAGAGAGTAAGAGTGCTCACCAAAACTCAGAACTGGCCAGTGGAACTGGTCATTTCAAAAATAAGGTCTTTTCTCATTTTCATGAAAAACCTGTCTCTGCAGTACATATTGTCAAGGAACAGGCTTTTTCGGTGGGGCCGTCTTAAAATATAATGGCTTAGTTGTTGTCATTGTTGCTAAGATCACCCCTTTAAGGAAATTTGAAGGAGCTCATTAGAACAAAAGCTAGGAAGCTAGAAGCCCACTAGAAAGAACATATGCAGTATTATTTCAAAGGGTTTGAATGACTGATGGAAGGGAAAAGTTATCTTAGTGTCGAGAGGGTCATGATTCCTCAGAAAATTCTACTTGAAGTTTTATTCCTCTTAAATGTCATTTCCGCCATTCTGGCCCTGTAGAGTGTCAAGTCGCTTGCACGTGGCACTAGTTTATTTGCTTCATTCCAAACAAAAGAGACTTATACTCACAGTCTGCCTATTAATATTTTTATGATATTGCAATATTTTTATTAGAGATTTCTCAGCTTAGACAGTTCTACTGAAATCCCTTGAACATCTCTAGATCTACCACAGGCCAAGTGTGTGAAAGGCCAGAAAAATATATTGTCAACTCTCAGTCTTAGATGGACACTGTGGGGATCAGCAATAGGGCTCTGTTAACCCTTCAAGTCACAAGAATGACTAATGTCAATTTTTCTTCTTACATTTTCAATACATCAGAATTTATTAAATGATCAATCCCACAACTAACAATTGTTATTCTCTAAGAAGATGTATGGAAAAATCAGTCTGGAGAATTTGTATGACTCTGTGATATAAGGGCTTAAAGAAACGGTTATCAGTGTATTGTTGGTTGCCCCATAGTGATGTCAAGGAAGATAACTGAATTACGAAAATAATGGCAGGGAACAACACTAGATACATGTATCCATATTTCAGGGAGATGTTATCCTGGCAGGAATAGCTCAGTTGGTAGAGTAGGAGGTTGCGGGTTTGATTCCTGGGACGGAACCAGTACTCAGGGTCTTACATTTGTAAAATAACTGGGAAATTGGGAAATGAAAGAACTGCCTTTGCCCTGCAAATGGATAGACCTTCCAGCTTCGTGTGCCTCTGGAATTACTTCCGTGCTATTACATTGGCACTCAAATACAGGACTTTTTTTGTTTGCCTTTCAAAGCATTTTGTTGGGTGTCCCAGGCCACTGGACTCCCGTTAGGCAAAATCCTTTCAACAAGTCGTACTTTTAATTTATTTTGTTGGTTGTATATGATGTGGTTCTACCTGTATTTTATCCTTAGTTTAAATTTTATTTTCTTTTGTTTTTGGATATTATAATAATAATAATAAATTTCTTTATTTCGCCCATTAAAATACATAACAAACGTTACAAAGAGTAAAAGTATACAAACCATGAAAATCGCACAGATCATTTACAATTATTATATAAAACCTGATAAAACATTGGATATCTATATTGTTAAATTGCCAAGTTGTATTGAAACCTTATTCTATTAAAATAGCAATTCTTAAAACGTTCTGTATTAATCTGTGGTAATTGACTTGTTTGTGATGTTAACTTCTTAGATGACTCTTTGACTTTCGGCAAAAGGGCATATTTATAATGGATGGTTAACATTGTTCTTAATTTTGGTGAACAACCTGCGGTCACACTTCTCTAAAAGGTCATAGATATTAATTAACTCAGAAGAGTAACGTCGCTTATTGCTTATGGTCATGTAAGATAATGATTTTGAAACAAAATAAAACAAAATATATATTTATGCCAAGGATAAAATTGAACCACAACATAAACACGTAAGCCTGTATCTTTGACCAAACAGCTGGATATTGGCCTAGTTTTTATGGGCCAAGACTTAGTCAAGGTCCTTTGAAATGCAAAAGAATAACAAGCTTGGTTGAAATGAAAGATTTATTGTATGGCCAGAACAAAGATTAATCTTTTCTTGTGGAAGTAAGCAGGAAATTGTTCAATCATTATATGTTTACATGTATGTGACTGATCCTAAACTATTTTGGTTTTCTTTTTATTTCAGGATTGCAACAAACAAGTTGATATTGCTTTGCATTATCTTGGTAGAGTTGGCCATCTTGGCTGCTGTAGTATATTTAAGGTTTTTTAAGAAATCAAAGTCGAAAAAAAAGAGTTAGTTAACTCAAAGTTCTTTTGATTATCTTGCAGTGTCATGTGCTACATCATTTACCACTCAATAAAGCTTCATTTAAGTTTTTGACCATATTTTTTTAGCAAACTTTCTGGTGGCCTTGCAAAGAATTCTTCTATGTGGTCATGATGAAACACATGAACTGTTGAAGTTAAAATAAGTAATTTTGTAGCTTGAACTCAGCATAATTAGAAAAAAGATCTCACAGGGGTTAAAAATGAAAAAACTGAATTGCAGTTTGCCCTCCAGACAAGTACCTTTAAGATTTTCTCACTTTATGATTTAGATTTAGATGATTTGCCTGGATCATTGGTCATTGGGCAAAGGAGAATGTAAAGATGCTTGCCCAGCGGGAAAATCTACTCTTCCCATATAACTGTGTAGAACTTTTTTCAAGCCCTGATTTCAGATAAGATAGTCTCACTGTGGTAGATCTTTTGTTTGTCAGATAAATAATAAATTTGTTATGGCAATTTCTATAAATGGCCTATTGCTATAGCTGATACAAAAAGCTCACCNCCCCCCCCCCCCCCCCCCCCCACCTATTTTTAGACCAAACTGAGGCCAGAAGAGCTAAAAAAAAATTTTGGGAGACCCCTCCCCCCCCCTTATCTAAGGATCTGGATGACCGCCCCCTGCTTATCTCAAGGTCTGGATTCGGCACTGTTCAATAGCCCTGAAAATTGTTTCTAAGCAAATATTGTTTCTTTCCTTGAACACTGTCAGGGCTCAAGATCTTTAAAAAAATTAAGATATCCAATTTAGGAAGTTAATTATTGCTCTAATGAAGTCATTCAAAAGCAGCTGATCATCATTTTTATCAGACAGGTTTTTTTCTGCATTGTTCATATTGTCTTTTTTTGTTTGTTTTTCCAAAGTAATAATATGTAATTTACATTCATGTCAATTAATATCTCCATAATTCAATATGTGCAATGAGCTTGCATATATTATTACAATACCCAAGTCATTAATATTACTATAAAATGACCCAGACATAATTTTTCTTACAGGTCAGGGCATGCTTGTTTTAGGCATGTTTCATGGAAATATATCAGGTTTTCACCATCAAATTTACTTGTACCTTTTGGAATGAGGTCATGCTAGTGCAAAACCTTTCATGTAAAAAAAATGAGTCTCATTGAAATATTATAATGGTAAATTTTTTTTTTATATCAAAGATTTTGCACGTATCCTTGTTTTGAAAAAATATGCTTGAGGCAACTCACAAATAATCTTTTTTGGTATCACAAAAGTAAGTAATAATAATGAAATTGACAGTTCACAGTTAGAGAAAATAGAGGTATTATAACCAAGAAAAATTAATGTGGCAAAATAAAAGAGGTTGTTTTTGATGGCTATTTTGTATTTAGCAACCGGACTGTGACATTTTGGGCAAACATTAGTATGAAAAACTTGGAAAGAAAAATTATGTGAATCCCCAACAAAAGTAAAACCTGGTATTACCTTCCATGGCCTCCACTGGGGATTCACAGAGTTTTTCTTTTCAAGTTTTTTACACTAATGTTTGCCCAAAAATAGACTAGAGAACATTTCTTCAGATATAAACCTATTGATTTTTTATTTACTAACTTAGACTGCAAAACATTACTAAAATATGATGTAGCATACATTTAATTGTATTGATCAACACAGATATACAGGTTGTGTCATTATGACAAAATGAACAACTTCCTCATCAGTTTGAACTCAACCATTATATACCATAATCACACATTTGACAGGAAACTAAGGGTATTTGATTGACAAGCACATTCCAACAGTGCTTCTTTCCTTGGGTGGGATTTATTTGCAACATGCTGATGACAATATCGCAAACCTTGAAGTAAATGCAGAGTGTTTTCATTTTTATCATATTTTTTCTCACTTGAATGTGAACAAAAGTAGGTTGCATGTTATGAAAAGTGTTTCCAGAATTCTTGCAACTATGAAATCACTACCCGTTTTCCTTTCTTGGGTTTTTATGATGATGACCAATAATTATTTATCTCTTATTTACCAAGCTGAACCTTTTGTAAGAAGGTGAGACTGCCATAATAAATATCTGCCCTAAAACCTGTGGTCAAACTGGAAAATCATATTTTTAAAAAACAAGTTACATTTGATCATTACATTGAAAAGCAAAGAGTTGCAGAATTTTTTCAAGTAATTCCATTAGCTTTATTTATGGTGGGACGGGGATATTATTTATTTGATGAAAACATCATCACCTTATATCACATCCCTCTGCAAGAACCAGTAAAAGAAACAAAACGGAGCAAGAAAACTCTGATCGAGTGGTGTATTGTGCTCATTGGTTTCTTTACCTTTTACAATTACCTTTGTTCTGGTTCCTACAAAAAGCCAAAAAGAAAGGGCCCATTATGCTCCAAACTAAGTTCAAAAATTCTTGAGAATTAAAAAGCTAGCTCATGATCTATCATGGTTTTCTGTGAAGAGTAATAATTTACAAAATGTCAGTGCTGAACAGAAGGATTCAAGCCAGAAATCTGATGCTCATTTTTGAATTCATATCTACATTTTCCAGTACCTAGAAGGTCAAAAAGACAACAAAAATTAGCAATTTTTTTAACACCATATTGCTGAATTTACTGGAGTCAAAATTTTTTCCCATTAGAGATCTTCAAAGAAGCAATGGCTGTTTAAAAAGGTTTTACTAAAAAGTTTAAGTACATGTTAGTCACTTGAACCTAGGAATTAGCAAAAAAGTGCAAAATCATTCAATTTATTCGATTCATGTATCTTGTGTGATTAACAAAGGTTTGCATATTTCATCTTGTTCAATGTCAAGTTTAAAGTGAGGATAGACTAATGATGGCAACACAATAACAATGAGCAAGGACTCTGATATGTCAATTGATATTGGGATTTGAAAGAGCGATATGGATCTCCAGATGGCCTAGACATATCAATGGACGGAGTGGATTTTCCACTATTTCGAAACTTTAATATTTTCACCGAAAGCATATTAGTTTTGTTGAGCTTGTTACAGTTATGAGAAAAAAACGCCTATCTTTTTTAAATGCTTCCTGTCTATTGTAAACACCCCCTCTTGGACCCCTAAAAATTAATTAAATAGATGCCCTGAGCATTTGGTAGGTCATGGACAGTGAGGGTGGAGAGGGGAAAAGGAGGACAATGTTAACACGTCAATAGACAGAGAGAACTGGAACATTGACTTCCACACTGCGTGATCCTTAAAATCATCATTATTAATCTGTTTGAACAATAATTAAACAATAAGCCGCATTTACTTACTCTCTTCAGTTCTTCAAATGAAATTGCACCATCCTTGTCAATGTCGGCATCACTTATTGCACGATCAGCAATTCCACCAAGTTGTTCATCACTAATGTTCATTCCTACCATCATATGAAGAACCTACAAACAAAAGGATAATTAACCCATTCGCCCCTGAACCGCGCGTAACCGCCCGTGCGGATCCAGGTCCTTTCTACCCTTTGTGACATCATCAGTTTTAACGGTCAAGGACAACTTTCTTCGCTAACTTGTGCAGAGTGAAGAGATCTTTCAAACCATACCAGAATGAGCAAAATTCAGTCAAGGACACCGGAGAAAGAAGCAAAAAACCACGTCACATGGACCTGAAAATCTCCATGAAAATCTTGTTCCATTGCCCACCTACCTTTCCTTTCACCTAATCCTAAGATCCTAAAAGCTTTCCTAAAAACTATTCCCACCAAAATGAAGCCTACTAAATGCCCAGCAAGAGAAAAAAAAATGAGGCAAGAAAAGCGAAGAAAGAAGGGAGGAGAGAAAGCGAAAAGTAAAAGTCAAGACCGCTGTGTCACTTTTAAAACCAAAAACTATCTCGAAATTTTGCTTTCTGCGCATGCCCGAACTTCGCAAGCTGATATTTTGCATCTGGATCAGAAGGCTGCGAAGTGTACGACCTGTAAACCGGTTTGTGGTAAGTTTTAGCTCTTTATAGCACGACAGTGACCAGAAAACCACTCAACTAGCTTCAAAACGCGTTTTTCGGAAAAATCTCCAGGAGCGAATGGGTTAACATGGTTAACAATAATACCAGTTCATAAAAATTAAATTTCGCCATTTTGAAGACCACTGGCTAGCCAATGCTTCGATGCTCACTACCAAGCGTTTGTAAGCCTCAAATTATTGATATAGTTTGTAGCTTAGAGCATGCAGTCGATATTTGAGAATGTATTAATGACAACAAAAACTTATCTAATAATAATTTTGTAACATTTGATTTTGTTTCAAAATAGCTGCCACAAACTTTGTAGCAAAAAAAAAAAATTAAAAAGCATCAAACATTAATTTTGGTTTCCTATTTCTTAAAGCAGAGCTCGAAAAAAGACCCTCCGGAAGTCCAAGACAAGTAGCGCTGGGAAAGTAACTTGTAGAACACACTTGCTCAATGCATGGGTAAGGTTTCGACAAGTTATCCTCTTACAAAATCATTAACAAAGAAGAGCACGAAGTGTCAGTAGGCGAGCAAAATGCGAGAGCTGCTTGCCCAAAGAACAAGCTTGAATTCAAGTTTTTTGAGCCCTGTTAAAGGAATTTTGGACATAAATTCCATAATTAAGAAATGAAACTGAACAGCTCTCTCAAAAACTTGTTGACCAACAGAAGTTTAACAGAGCCATTGTTCACTTTACCTAACTGAGACTGCTATTTTCATACCAAATTAACCTTTGTGAGCTTTCTTGAGATGATACTTTTTCTTGTGGGGAAAAACAGGCAATTGTATAAAGCTTGCAAGATAGATCAAGATATCTTATCAAATGTGTGATTTGGTCTGCCTGTGTTACCAAGTCATAAGTCATAATAATAATTGTACCAGTTATTGACGTACCTGCATCAAGTCATCCTTTGATATTTTTCCATCATTGTCCAAATCATAGATTTTAAAGGCAACTGTAGCAAAGTTAAGCACGATATTATTAAGAGGCTGGCAAGAAATGTTGTTTTCTAAATCTTCAAAATTGTGTAGAATGTAATCATGAATTCTACTTACACTGCATCTTTTTTTCTCTACTATTCAAGGGATTTTCCGTGGCAGAATCAATAGGTCTGAAGTGAGCTAAAGTCCTAACAAACTGTCTGAAGTTGCATGTCTCTTCATCTCTTTCCCTAATAAACCAAAGCAATTAATATTATTTACATGTACATTTATGGCTACATAGTTTTTTTTTGCAAGCCTTTGGCAAGGTTCATAAATTCATCAGAATTATTTTGTGTCATTTATATGTGGACCTCTTAGCACAGTAGTTACCCTAGTAGTGGCCTCTACATATGTATTGTCAATGCTCTAGTAAGCAACCACAGCATTAATTCAAAGAAGTGGTCACAACAAAAACTTGTCACTTGCACAACGGTGCTCTCGTAACCAAACTGACACTGAATGATAGAGAAAGGTTGCTCAAAGAACTATTCTACACCATGCCTTTATAACAGTAACACTCTTTGACTTTTTCTAAATGTAGATTTGTCTTGGGCTAAAAAAGCAAATTACTTCAATAGACTGGTCCCACTCTTACTTCTTTTTTAATATATTTTTCATTCTGTTGTTGGAAGTCATCCTCCTAAGTAGTTAAAATTATTTTCCTCAATCAGACATAACAATGGTTTGTTAGTAAGGAAGACTGACTTACTGACTGTCTTCGTTCATAAAGAATGCATCTATGATTCTGTCACCGATTGGATTGATGGCCAGCTCTGGTATGGAGATAAAATCTCTGCGGCTGATAAGTAAAACAAATAAAGATTTGTGAGATCAAAGCTTGTGTCTCTTAAAAGGGATTATATATAATGGCCTTATAAAAAGAGAAGTGATCATGAAGACCTTCTCACCAATAAAAGATGCTAATTAACAAATGTTAATGAAGAGAAACAAACTGGGCAATAACTTGAATAATAATCTTGAACCTTAACTCATAATTTAGATGAGTTGTTTTTCGGAGAAGATGAATGAGACCTTAGTTTAATTTCCCCCTCAAATTCACACACTCTGCAAGCAGTGCCTCTTTTACCTTAACAGAGGGGGCAAAACAAGATCTGCCATAAACTTGCACATACTTAGAAGCCACTACAGACAACTGGGTTGGAGATACTCCCTATAATGGCCTATACGGGGAGGCTCCGCCCAAAAGGGGTAACTTTTTCAGGCTTTAGGTATTTGAAAGAGTAGGGATTTTTCACTCGTTGAGGTACATGAAAGGGTGGGAAAAACTGTCATTTCAGTCTGTAAAAAGGCCCAAAAGGGCTAACAATTGTATCTATGGCTGTGAAAAGTCAAGAAAATGTTCTGACTTTTTATTTATTCCTCTTTAAAAGACAGTGCAATTACAGCAATTAAAAAAGATGCAAAGTTCAAAACTAGAACTGGGTACCATTTTTTCAGTAGAACGGACAATTTTCAGTAACTATGGACTACTACGAGTTGTAGCAGGATGGGAAAATGTTGGATCCTGAAGTTAAGAGGAAATGCAAGAAAGATAAGAGGAAATCTGTAATTTAATAATGCCTTTTTTCATATTTTTGTCCTGCCTAGATTAGCGCTATTGCTATTTGCAAGGCATAAAGTACTGTAAGCTTTATGGATCTAATATTCTTAAATAAAATACATTGTTGTTGTTGTTGTTTCAGCAGAAGGTATACGAAACGGATACCGTTACTGTCAAAAATGATATAAAGGGGTAGGGGCTGGATCCCGAGGCAGAGCTGCCCTGTATAAAACTCTGTTGATTACATCACCCTAAAAACCCCCACCCACCTCCCCCCTCCTCCTGGCTACAGACCCAACTGTTAGGCTTTGAAAACTTTTTGGTACAATGTAAACTGAGCTTGCTGAATAAAGGGAAAACGCCAAACCACCCTTACTTCTTTATAAGATTCTTATCTTTGACACTCATATGTTTCTGCTCCATTTCCTGTTAAAAGCACAAACATGGAGCACTTTGATTCTCATCAAAAGAAAGGAGCTAATTTTTGCCAAATGGAACAAAAAACACTTTATTGCAGTGTCAGTCATTTCTTTAGCACGAAAGTACTAATTGGGGACAGTATTTTAACATCTCCTAATAGAGACAGGACTGCCATTGTTGTGTAATCATATGAGTGACATGAAGGTCTAGCCATCTGCATGGAAGTACCTTCATTTCTAAGTGATTTTAAGACCCCGAGTATTGGTCTGGTGGTTCCAGGAATCGAACCTGCAACCTCCTGCTCTACAGTCAAGCACTTACCAACAGAGCTCATCCTGCCGCAGATTAACAGAACCATGTTTCAGAAAATCAATGAACCAAGTTTCAGGAAAGCATGGACAAACCAAAACACTGGGGGTGAACTCTTTGTGGGGCTAAACCACTAACGTCCTGTTGAAATGGGCATGCCTCCCAAACGACTGGGATGAATTAGTTGTGCCCTCTGTTCTTAAAATCCATTTTTGCTGCACTTTAGGGCTTGTGAAATTAGGCATTTTTGGCAACTTGTGTTGCAACAAAATTGCTAGACAAGTTGCCAAAAAAATTATTAATTAATTTCTATAATTTTTACCTCAGAGTGCCCTTTGTCGCCTTGTCAAGACTTGAAAATCTGCAATAAAGTCTTCTTATTTGATTTGGAGAAACTGAAAAACAAAAACAAAAAGGAACACATTTAACGAAAAGGTCAGAGAGAAAAAATAAAGTTTTACCGAAGAGTCGACCTCGCCGGCTGGGCAATACAAAAATGAAAAAGCCAATCAAATATACTTACAGCCAGTCTCGTTTTGTAGCTCTTCTATGTCTTCCTCTTGTAAAAGAGTAGAGGATTTTAAACCCATGTTTGGTATTTACCTTTTACAATAAAAAAAAGAAGCCTTCACTACAGTATTGAGAACATTTCACCATAAAACCGAACTCTGATATTTTTACCGAAGGTCAACCGAGCCGTGCTTTGTAACCGAGCTTTTGATTACGCACGGGAAAGAGAACATTGCCTTACTCTCCACCAGTGGGTAGGGGTTTTATTTGTAGCGTTGAAAAGACCAAACCTGATGAAAAACATTGATGTTGGCCGATCAAATATTGTAACTTCCATCTCGTCATCATTGTATGCAACTGCTTGACAGTTATTTTCACTTTCATAATTTTTTTTTTTTGTTATTTTTAGCGGGTGACAGCCAAGGACGCTCACTCCATTTTGTAATTATGTTATTTTTCGGCCTTGGGGTTTATATAGATATGTACGTGTAGATTTTTGTGCCCTGTATTGGTTTCATAGTTTGGGACAGATTAATAATTAAACTATAACTGTTTTTGAAACATGGAGGTTGGAATACACTCTATGCAGTTTACAAGAAGGAGAAAATAACTCAAAATAACTAAGATAGTACGCGCGTTCTGATTGGTTAAAAACCTATGGTTTATTGTGTTTTTAAGTTACCTCCTCTGCCCCTCCCCTGCCCCTCCTCCAAAAATAACCAATGAGAGATAAGGATTCAGTACCAATCACCTCAAAACGACGTAGGGAAACTGGGGCGACATTAAACAAAGGAAAGTCTAAGAGGCGGCGGTTTATGCGCCGTCGACAGTAGAGCGAGCGAAGAGTGAGATGAGACCATGAATTGTCCAAGATTACTACACTGGATAAAAGCTCCCACTCATGTTGTCAGATTATATCACTCACGAAAACATAAAGAATTGTTTTTAATCGGCGTTCCATTTGCTGGCGGTCAGGCAAGTATTGAACAAGTCAAAATACCTTAGATAATTTAATGAATTAATAATGCGCGTGTTTACGTAATGTGTGCGTTTCAACGAAGCAGTAACTTTTCTACCGTACGCTCTGTTTATCAGTTTGCTACGCTAATCCTAGTTTGTAAAAATCTTTGTTAGCTGCCAAAAATGTTGATATTACTGAGACGAGCAGAGGAGGTCACGAGCCTTCGCACCTGTTACGGTGAAAAGAGAACCTTCAAAATAACGTGCGCGCTTCACGTGCGATGTGGTGTGCGATGCTTGGACATCACATGATCACCCAAATTTCTGTTTACAAGGACAATAACCGTTAGATAGCAATATCAAAACAAAAATATTTCGGTGGTCTTACAGGGACTAGTAGAATCTTGAAAGTATTTAATTTGGAACATTTTGAAGGTTTGTGAGAGCTAGGACTGAACGTTCTGATCTGGTAAGCTTCTTACTTCTCTTCAGATCCCTTCCTTCCAACAAACTCACACTTCTTGGCTAACAAGATTTTCAACATTTTGTGGGATAAAGGAAAGGGGCACTTATTTGCTACTGCTGCCTTTTATTATGATTTTTGTTGTTGTTGTTGTTTTTTTTTTCAACCCTCAAGTCTGTCATTAATTAAAATTTGGATTAGTCCTGTTTTGAATGACAAAATTTTGTCAACAACGGGTCACTTTAAGGTCCCTCTTGAAATAGGGTCAGGACACTTTTTTGTCTTATCGGCATCTATTTTCTGTAACATGGTGACTTGTATATTTCCTGTATTTTATACTTGCTGACTTTTGAAAGGATATTATTTTGTTAAATCAGGCCCGGGTTCCTAGAAAGCCGATTAGTGCTAATCGAGGAATAAATCTCGCTAATCGCGGAATACATTTTGTCCCACGATTAGATCCTGTTCCTGAAAGCATGATTAACTTTAATCTAGGAATAAACTAAGTGTTAATTTTAACCCACCTAGCGAGGTCGATTCAGTCACTAATCAGGTGAAAACGTTTGTAAAACAAACAAAATGGCGGACTTACCTTTGCCTCAAATACGTGAAAAAAAGTTCTGACAGCAAGAAATTAATCTCGACCAATTCGCTGATGAAGAGCTTTGCAGTGAAAACCAGTTTGGCCGAGAGTCAATTCAATATTTGGTAGAAATCCTCAAGAACAACCTCGAGAGAAAGACGAGGAGAAAACATAGGCAGTTGCCAAGGTGGTTACTACTTCATGTAATAAATTTGGTCATTATAAAACATGAACTGTGGACTGCTGATTGAATATAAGGACTATGTTATAAAAACTAGGCCAATTATTTCTAGGTAGATGAAGAATTTCGGTTTCCTCTTCTTGTCCTTTGGTTCAGCCTAAACCACTTCATTTTTCGCCATTTTCCTTTACTTCACCTGTGCCTAAACATTTTTCGCGCCATATTTTTTGAAAGTAATCACCCCAAAAACTAGTTAAACCGGTTTCTTTTAACACTAATCTCGGATTAGTTAATCGTGGGTTTATTTCGCTTTCAGGAACTCCTTTTTAACCCACGATTAGTTATCCAAGGAATAAGAAAATTAATCGTGGATTTGATGCTAATCGGGGGATAGTTTAATCGGCTTTCCAGGAACCGGGGCCAGGTCATGAACAACCTTAAAATTTTCATTATTTCAAAAAATATGTTACATTTGTTTCCTAATAGCCAAGGAAAGGTCTCGAAAAAGGACCTGCTTCCTTACGACAGCATGGGTTAGTGAGCAACATCACCAAACTAGGTACGTATAGTCTTTCAGAATCAATTCATTGATTCTGCAATTGTTTCCTTTTATGACATAGTTAATCATCACATTATTCAATGGTGAGAAAAGTTTTTAAAATGAAATCAATGGAAGCTAAATTGTGCCAGAAAACATGTTTTCAGAAACTCTTTCGAACTTATTAAAAAAAAAAAAATACCAAAACACCTCTGTGCCAATATACATGTATTATTATCAAAGTGTAGGACGGTAAACAGTCTAAATGACTATAGGGTGTAAAATCGATACATATCCCTCAATGGTATTTCAGTCTTGGAGTATTTCATAAAGTGCCCCACAGCAGATTGAGAAAAATAACAGTTTTTGATAATGATTATTTTATTGACATGTTACCTAAACACTGTTTTAGTCAACATTTTTTGGGATAATTTTCTTATTTTAATAGGATTTACAGTATCAGATTTTGGAGAATTAGAAGTGCCACTGACTGATACAGAAAATCATAATTACATTACAAGTGGCACTACTGTAAAAAATTCCCTGGAATGTGGCACTGTAGCACACAAGGTAAGCCAGAAATTTGCCATTTCTTTACTTCACCTTTGCATGATAAAAAATTAATTTTAAAATAATTCATAGAAAGATGTTGGTCTCCAAGGCCAGACCTTTCGTAGGGACGAGCTGAGTCAAACTTTTATTTCCAGTCTAGGAAGCTTTAAAAAGTCCTCTATAAGGGAAGTTACAGATATTTTTGGATCTGTTTTAAACAGTTTTTACTATAAAAGTGAGAAGAATTCACACTGATTTCTGTCAACCTTCAGTTGATTTACTTGAACCATGCAAGGGTATCCCACTTAAAAATGTGTAATTGATTGTTGAGGGTTATGTCTTCTTGTTTGTAGCTTTCGGAAGAAGTAGCAAAAGCCACAAAACAAGGAAAGATCTCACTTACAATTGGAGGTGATCACAGGTAAATATACCCTGCGAGCAGAGGTTTCTCTCTTGCATGGCTTTTAGCGTTTGCGAAGTCATTGAGACACGTGTCTTGTCTGCCGTGTAGTTGGTTTGTTTATGCCCCAAGGGACATGTAGTTAGGGTAAGGTAACTACATGTGTATTGGAGTGGATCCTGGGAATTAAGCTTTTAGCCTTCAGTTACCCCCTCAAGTCTGTATCAAATTTGCTGTTAAAGATCTTCTTCTTTTTTTTTTTGCATCACCAAGCAGTGACATTAAGCCCTTGACCTGAAACCACCCATGATATTGTTTGAAAAGAAAGGGGGACGACTTTTACCCCAGTGTCAGTCAAACTTCCAATTTGCTGAAATTGTCAAATGTAGGAAATTTCCCTGGAGTTGATGTCTTTGCTTAACCATTACTTAGTCATGTAAGGTCAAGGAAAGACATCTGACCGCTAGGTTTTATGATTTTGTTGTTTACAGTATCGCAGTTGGTACAGTTTACGGCCATGCAACTGCAAGAAAAAATTCATGCCTGTTGTGGGTGAGTATTTTCCTAATGAACGGAAAGCCACCGGCAGTGTAAAATAGTTACTGCTGTAAGATAGAAGTGTTGAATTTGACAGCAAAGGGATTGGGACAAAGAGTACTTTATTGAAGCCCGCTACTTCTTAGTCCTCCATACTTAGATTAACCTCACGCATTTCTTTAAATTCGTGCATCTCATGTACCTCCTATGCATTCGCCAATTGCACATCTCCCATATATTACACCTTTACACGGTACAATATTATTATATACATTTAATTTCTCCTGGGTATTACAGTGGTCCCTAGAGAAATAATTGAAGACAATCCTTATGCAATTTTTTTGGGGGGAGGGGGAGGGTGGTACAAACAAGGTGTATTATGGGAGATATTTGCATAAGTGGTGAATGTGCGGGGACTGCTGTATATGTTTTAAAGTATTAATTAACACTTGGCTAATCCTTCATATGTCTCCAATTTTTTTTTATGTTTCAGATTGATGCCCACATGGACATCAACACTCCATCAACATCTCTCTCTGGCAATATTCATGGAATGCCTTTGTCTTTTTTGATCAAAGGTGTCCCAGAGGTAATATACAATGTAGATTTAGCCAGGGCTCTAATAGTAAAGCTCTGGTTAATAATACGTATATATAAACAAAAAAAATTAAATCGTGTAATGCTAAATGGGGATGGCAATGGAAATGGCATCAAGATAAATAGATCTAATTAGCAAAAGAACAAATTGCACGTTCAGCACACTTTTTTTTCTAATTAGCAAAAAAAAACAAATTTGCACGTGAGCCACTTTTTGTCTTTCCTTGCCGCTGTTTTTCACAACTACAATGCTGTTTTGTAGGACTAAAACGTCAAACTTCCTAGTTACTCGTTATTTTTATGGAGAAATTGTCGTATGTGATTACCCAATATTTTTTCTCCTGAGTTCATTTTTGCTTTTATTTTTCACTGCCGCTCATTTTCACCTTGCTGGTCACTAGCATTTCTCATTGTCTCACTGCCGCTTTGAATTTTCATGTTTTTCTTCCTACAAAGTGCGTCTCTTTTTGTTTTCAATCACTTACTCTAGCTCTTTCTCTGTTATCCACATGAGTGTAAACTTCACAAAAGACATGACTTTTTTGTTGTTTTTTCTTTCTAAAGTCCAGGAATGCTGGGCCATGCGATTTCTTTCAAATAAAACCTTGAGTTGCATTTCGGTTGCGATACAGTATGTTGCCCAGTATCCGGACACTTCAGTTTAAAATTGCAATAACTTTCCTTTGTTAATCGCAAGAGCTCTGAAATTTGGCCCAGAGAAAATCTATCTAGTCCTTAATATGACGAAAGTCAGTTTAACTTTTTTGCCTTTGTTTCCATCGCGAAATTAATATTTTTGCAGAGCTCCTATGTTGCCCAGTATCCGGACAGCTGGCCCAGTATCCGGACACAACAATAACAACGTCATTGTACATAAATTTCGACAGGCAAGCGACTTATAAGCTTCTCTTGCACTTGCAAAGTAGTCTGGCAATCGATTCCGAAAATATAACCTAGCATCGTGAAATAAAACATAACAAATGACTGGGGTATGGTGGGGAACGCGAGCGGCTGTTTTAAAAATGGTATAATTTCTCACGTCTTTGTCTAGGAACTTTTTCACTGATTTAAGGAAGGCATCCGTGAACATGCCGAAGCCGCAGTTTGCAAGCTCAATTAGCCAATCTGCAAAAGACTTTCTTTCTTTATTTTTTATTTAAAGAAAAGCTTGGCGAAGGGACCTCAACCTGACGGTCAAAGGTCACTCTCCTATTTAGTCTGACCTGCAGTGTTGATTTCTTCATGCTCAGTCCCCACAATAAGCCTGCTTTTCTAGCACTAATTCCTCCTTCTTTCACATCTCTCAATCCCTTTGTGACATTTTTTAGACCATTGCAACCCCATTCTAGCTGTCCCAACTGGGGAAAGTATGAGAATTCCAGGTTCAACTCGGACGCTTTCAGTTATATGTAGAAAATGCAGTCACGCGAAACAAGCGGCGCACACGAAATCAAGTCGCCTCTGAATGAGTGAAGAAAATTTCCATACGGAGTTGAGTAGAGTTACATTTTACGACTATATCATATATCCTAAGCTTTAATTATAGTCACTGATATGAAATAAATCTTATCTGGAGAATGTACACAGCTAATTCATCGATTCTGTACAGCAAAGAAAAAACTGTCCGGATACTGGGCACATGACATCAAAACTTAGTGAATGTTTCTGGCTTCCGTTATTCCAAACAAATCGAATTTCAAGAAGAATTAATAAACTTTCTGAAAACCTGACTTCCTTAAGTATCTTCACTTTAAAAATAAAACAGTTTCTTTGAAAATATCACACACTACCGTCCCTTTTCTGACCAGCACTAACTTTACTGCGCAGTAAACAGCGTAAATATTAGCCATGAAAAGTTTATTCACCTGAACAGAACGGCGTCTTCTGCGACTGTTTCGCAAGCTTTCAAATCGCCAAAAATTTCATCTTAAAGCTGAAATGTTCAGCTTTCATTCGAAATACTTCGTTTACCGAGAACTGAAAAGGGCGCCTCAAAAATTGAGTTTCTGTTTCAAGTGTCCGGATACTGGTACCGTCCGGATACTGGGCAACATACTGTACCAATTGATTGAATTATTTTACATTGGTATGCCTTTTGTGCGGACAGACTCTCGGGCAGTCGGTGTATGGTCACGTGATCACCAAATCTTCTCGGATGGGTAGTTTACCTGGTGCTTTTCTGCACGCGCTTCACGTGTGAGAGCTCTGCTATGATTACTTCATAACAGGCTGGCAGAAAATGCATTGCTTCCCACCATACTTTCATGAAGTATTATTTGTTAGTGAATATTCAAATATTGTCTAGTCGGTCCAGCCCTAATTATCCTTAAAAAAGTTAAATTCCACCCCCCCCCCCCCGCCCTCAATTATTCTGTCGAACTTAACCGGATTTAAGGGGTTGATAAGTTTTTTTCTTTCTTTCTTTTTCGTGAAAAAAATTGCATTTAATTTTGATGTTGAACGTGTTATTTTTTAGTTTGCTCAACCTCCTGGGTATGAGTGGTGCTCACCATGGTAAGTGTGTAATTTATAAATATTTGGGATTTAACATTTTTGTTTGTTCTACATAAATATCTCCCAAGATTGATCATATTTTACCCACAGACAAGAGTCAGAGACTATGCTCTCCTTGAAAGTTCAACAAGTTATGTCACACTGAGTTTTTTTTAGGTGCAGACACTAAGTAACACTGACACACTTTTTTTGTACATGTTTATAGTTTGTCTCCAAAAGATGTTGCATATATTGGACTTAGAGATATTGAACCACAAGAAAGGTAAGTGGTTTTTTTTATTAGCAACACAAGGAGATGACTTACACTTACTGTAAAAGCATGTGTTGGTTATATTGGAGGCCAGGGTGGGAGTACTCACATCAAGGAAGTATTTTGCACGGAGACTTTAACCGATGTCCAACCCCCTACCCTTTTATATACCATTTTTGACAGAAAAGATGCCCCTTTTATATACCTTCTTCTGAAAAACGGACCTACCCCTTTCACATACCTTGTTTAGAGCACTCATGCATCCCTTTTAACTGCTGTAAATGCACCATCCTTTTGAGTATAAATAAATCACTAAACCAGGACATTTTCTTGTCTCCGTCATGTCCATAAAATGCTTCTGTTAGCCCTTTTCAGTCCTTTTATAAACCCAACATGACAGATTTCCTTCTTCTTTCATACCTCAACTAATGAAATCCCTACCCTTTCATATACCTGAAGCCTGAAAAAGGGGCCACTTTCGGGCGTAGCCTCACCATATTACAGGCCAATTTAGAGAGTACCCCCCACCCCCCAGAGGAGGGGTCTGTTACCACTTAAGAATACATGTATGGTAGACTTGCGAGTCTCACGACTTTGTTATGAGTCTCACGATCTCACTAGTTACTGTAACTTGATCGCAGGGAGATATGTGATGAGCTTGGAATTGCAGCGTATACCATTGATGACATTGATAAAGTTGGAATTGGAGAAGTAATCCAAAAGGCGCTTGAAACCATAAATCCAAGGTAGAAGATATGATAATGATCTAATTATGATGATGAAAATTTTAATTTTATAGCAAACCCGTGATAAATGTTGTACAAGCAGGCACATTGTCAATGGTTTTGTAACCTAGTGAAAGGAAAAATACTACCTCTACCTCTGGACAGTCCTAAAAAAAAAAAGCATCTGATCCATTAACAATATTTTTAATTTTGCTGTAGGGGTGATCGTCCCATTCATGTCAGTTATGATATTGATTCACTGGATCCAAAAGAGGCCCCAAGCACAGGGACACCAGGTCAGTTGCTCTTGGCAATGTAGGGTGTAGCACAGTAAAATATAACCCAATTGAGCTGTCATATATGCTTTGGCACTGTTTATTAATCTACTGTTCTAACATTCTGAGTGTTTCCTCTGTTTTTAGTGAAAGGAGGCTTGACATTGGATGAAGGAATTTACATTGCTCAAATGGTGGCTGAAACAGGTTTGTTTAAACTGAATAACAATTTCAAGTGTAAATAAGAAAAAATGCACTAATGTTGATTCTTTCTTTTTACTTTGTTTGCATGTTTGTTTTTCTTTCCAGATTAACACAATCCTTTTACAACAACAATTTTTGATACCATTAATTTGACCAGAAATTCTTTGAAAATTCCATTGAACACTCGCTAGCAATGATAAATTGTTTGAATTTTAAAAGTCGCAGAAGTTGGCTATCATAATGATTGTTTATTTCAGTTATCAACTCTGCAAAACTTTTTTTTTCAAGGCAGGTCAAGCGTACCCCCCAAGATTCTATTAATGAATTGATTATCTGAGAAATGAATCCGTTAGTTGTTCCCGTTACTAGTGTCAAATTCAAATCGGCATTCCTGCATGCGTAATGAGCTGTGAATATTTTACAAGAACTTCTCTGTATCTGGTCAGATTGAAAATCTTTGAATGGTTAAAATTGCTTCAAAGACATTTACATCAAGCTCTGGAAAAATGAGCTGATAAATATTTAATTAACTGCCTTGCGTGTGAATTCACAGCTCATCACACATGCAAAATGGAGATATGAACCTGAAATCTACTACCAACGGCTTTCGAGTAATAAATTCATTGATGGAATCTTTGGGGGTACGCTTGACCTGGCTTGACTGTAAATTAATTGATAGCAGCGGGGAACCAATCTCCATGTTGAAGGCTGTCATGCTAATTATATGTTATTTCTGCCATATTGTAGGGTGCCTCTCTGCCATAGACATGGTGGAATTTAATCCAGCAATAGGAAGCGAGGAGGAAGTGACAAGAACTGCCATAAATACAATGGAACTAATTAACATATTACTCGGCAAGAAAAGTCACCTCACAGAGGCTCCATTGCCTCCTGTGGATGAAAACAAAGTTGATGTCAATAATGGAGTTGTAAATTAATCTTTAGCAAAAGTGGGGGTGGTGGGGATGGGAGGCTGTAAAGGGTCAGGGGAGAGGTGGGAAGATTAAATCTTAATTCCATGATGGTGAAGAATACACTACTGTGGGCTATATTATAGGTACTTCCATATGAGTAGATCAAGGAAAAAGTCACCATTTTTGGACAGTGTGAGCACCAAAGACACACCCCAGGGCATTCCAGGGTGTGAACTCTCAGAAAAATTGCTGCTCCTTTCATCTTTTTTTTAGACAATTTTCTGTAAGAAGGTCAGTTTTGGAAAGTTGATTACAAAGCACTTTAGCTGATGTAAAGTTATTGTGTAAAGTGTTTTATTTAAGCTCAGTTACTTGTGCCGTTATTTATCGTTGCCTATTGTGTGCAATATTTGAGCAATGTAAATAATTTTAACAAAGTTGGCCTGAAATAACAGAAAGGAAAGTACCTAGCAGGTTGTAAGCTTAAATGCAAAGTATAAATTTTTATTATGTACCATGTGCAGTTCCATGATTTTTAAATGTACGATGAATTATATTTACCAAATAACAATCGCGAGAGTAACAACTATACTCGCTACAAATCTCAATACTCAAGTCGCTTTAGAGAGGAAGAAGCAGTCTATTCTGTAGAATATAGCTCAATATCATGCGTACTTGTATATGTAAGACCTATGAAGTGTACAATACACGATAAGCTGACAAGAGTTTGTATGGGAAATAAAACTCAGAATAAATACTAGACTCAACACACTGGTTAGATTTCTCAATAAATAGCATAGAGCAGTGATGCCGGGAATTGTTCTGTCTTTCTACGACGTTTGAGCGCTATTTTTATGGTTTTGGATATATTAACTCAGTCAACCGGTAGAATCCACGCACACTGGCATACCGAAGTGGCATCAACACCCTTCGGGTAACTGAGGGGGAGTTTGGGCACCTCAATCGGGCATTAGCAAATATAGTGCTGCCTGGCTTTTGGGCAATTGTCTATTCCGGAGTTACCCTAGGGCCGATTGACACGCGCGTGTTGACTCGAAATACAAACATTGAGGGCTTTGTTACAAGGAGCTAGCAATTTGATGTAGATTAACTTGTCTGTCAAGGACCGAGCAAACGTGAAGATTCTTCCAACTGTTGTGCGCCTTTCAGTCAGGTATTTGTTTTACCAGGCTCTCTTTGTCAATTCGGACATGGTGCCGGTGGCTTTGCCGTTTCTGCGGGAGATTTCTGAGTCAAGGCTCAAGTTGACGGAGATAGTGGAACCGAGGAAGGTGAATTCGTCTACTATCTCGATTTTAATATCAGGGGTTTGGCTGACACGCATGGTTTTTCTTGAGGATGATTGGACCGTGGCCGAACAAGGAATGGCCTCCCTCATGAAGTTCCATCTGGAGATAGCATCCTGACCCTGGGGGTACTCGAGGGTCTTCTCTAACTCGCTGAAGAATTTGCGCTGAAGCTCTGTAATCAAAAGTCCCGGCTGTGTTTATGCGGGGAGTTTCTTTGGTTGCACACCAAGGCATGATCACTATCGCAGTCGGTGCTGTGGTACATGTACATATCGTGCTCTTACTCACGGTTAGCTGCGAGTGGAGAGAACGTTGGGCAGGCTGCGTCGTCTGGTGATTACCAGATTAAGCTGGTACCATGATCTTTGGGACCGAGAATGTTTCCATGAAACATGATGTTGCGGCTTCCCTTCAAATAAGGTGTTGATTATGCACAGATTGCGTGTGGAGCAGAGCTCCAAAAGTCATAGTCCATTTTCTTTTTCCCTGGCATTGACGTCGCCAAGGAGCAGAAGCTTCTTGCATTCAGCTCATTTCTCTGTACAACTCCTCGTAAAAGTGGTCTTTAATGTCTTCAGGCCCGCTCAGAGTGGGGACATATATAGATACTAAAGAGGTTGACAGGGCCAGCTGTATGTAGGTATGTATTTATACTTGTATATTCAATGAAGACTAAAGGCAGGCGTAGGGATAGGATGCGTACGACTGTATGCTCAATGATTTTATTCACCTTTTCGTAGCTCATTCGTGAGTGAGGTTAATATACTTGGCTATCCTTCAAACGTCCTGTGGTCAGTAAGTTCTGTTGCTATCTCACAAATCAAAAAGGGTGTGATATTCTCACGTAATTGTATATGTGTATCCCTTTTTCATTGAAGATCGGTATGAACTTATATTTCCAGTAAGGTACCATTTACTGTGTATAGCAAGAGAAGTTGTCTCGTGGGGGAGGATCACTCGCCTACTCAAGTTACACTAGGCGAGTCAACTTTTCATACATTTCGCTATAAAAATGGGCAAAACGTTTTCATGAGGAACAAAAAGTTGGTTTGGCTAAGAAGGGTAACCCGTCTAGCCTGTGAACCTTTTTCGATAGCATAGTTCCCCTCTTGGCCAGGCCAACTTTTCTCCACATAAACACTTTGGCTCGCCCAGCCAGCTGGGTCAACTCGGTCAAGGCAAAACAATCAGAGCATGCGCGAGCACAGTTGGCTCCAAATGGGAAAAGGTTGGAAAAAGGGTCAACTTTTTCCTCATATAAACGCATAAAAGTTGTTTCGGCTTGGTGGGTGACCCTCTTCCCCGGGACATCTTTCTTTATATTATGGAGACCTAAGAACTAAGACATTATTCGAGCATTTCGAGCATTATCCATATACCAATTCCAAGGAGACAGACTTCAAATAATCGTTACTCCTGCAATTATCTACATGCAGTAGCCGCTCATCATAAGGATGCCTAAAATGCGTGCTATAGATGGTTTGACGTCATTAAATTGTAACGTCAAAATAGCGAGGTTTTATGAGTTCTTATTTACACTGGGTTGAAGACAAACAAAAAATGAATCTTTGTACAAGTTTCCATTCCCTTAGCATGTTTCGTTTCGAAAATACAGCAATATGAACTTCCGAGTTTTCACAGTGCGTGACCCCAAAATAGGAATGCTGTCTCATTGAAAAGAAAAGTCTCTCCTATTGATTTTCAGCAGTATAACCATTTCCAGTATTAGAGGATATGTTTATACACACGTATGCTAGTTCTCGAGTGAAAAGAAAGAGCTTTTATAGAAAAAGTGAACTCCAGATGTTTTTGTTGATTTCCGGCGGCCATATTGGTGCACCAAAACTGTACACCAATATGGCGTCTCCATACAAAGCTCTACAAAGGTGCGTGAAACGTTACGGCAAACAACTCAGGAACTGTGCGTCACAAAGACCTGAGAGTTGGGCAAATTGTTTATATATTAGTCTTTAATAACATTTCTTTTTCTTGGCTTCTTCCATTGGACGGTTTCCAATTTATTTTTTTGTTGCGTGACAGTGAAAACGATCTATAGACCTTTTTACCGATACCGCGGCCATATTGAATTAATTAG